TTACTACCTCCTGCAGTCCAGTGTTGTCCTAATAGGGAGGCTGTAGTAACACGGTTTGTTCCAACACCTGCCTTCGTATAGACAGAGGGTTTGTAAGTCATCAAGAAAAGTTGGAATTGTTTGCATTAACTTGCATGGCTTCATTTATCTCCATTGCTGCAGGAGAGCTCCAAGTTAACACATTTCTTAACCCCTGCAGAAAAGTCTGTTTTAAACAGCAGTTAACAGTAGAGGTGTGGACAACGCAGCATTTTTTCTTTCACTTTCAGGTTTGCAGGGTTTCTTGTAAATGGTCTCACTTTTTGTAAAGGCATGAATCTGGATTCTGTCCCTGATAACCTCATTGCTCTGGTCATAAAACTCACTTTTATCTTTCAGACATGAAGAGAATAAAACATTTTTGGTTATTTAATTATGAAAAATTCACAGCTTGCTGATTTTAAGCTTGTGCCAACACTTCATATCAATGAAGTTCATCTTCTTACTGAATGACTGTCGATTTCCCTCCATCACGAAGCCACACCCAAGTGTGTGTGTCCCTTTATATACAGAGGAACTACAGCAACCTGAAACAGAAGTCTCCTTCTCTCCCTGATCAGAGGTAAGTAGCTGAACACACTGAGCTGTTGTTTGTCTATATGTTGTTTCAGTGTTGATGTGATGCTGAAGATTAAAGTGGCATTAACAAAGCTGCATGATTTAATTAGTATTACAAGTATATATGTTTTATAGTCTTTGACTTTAATTGGAACTCCAAGTTTAGTTTTGTTGATTTTTGGGTTTTTTTTACATGCTATTTGTAAATCCTGCTGCTGTCTTTATGTTTAAAGCAAAGAGGCAAAACTTTAGCTTCCTTATAGCTTGACTGCAGGATTTATTCTGCAGAGCTGCCTCTGTGGGGTTTCTAGCTTCCTCACAGGTGATATGCCTGTGACCTATTTAAGTATTGCATTTTAAGTGAAGTACAATGAAACTGGCATTTAACCAGTATTTACAACACTATGAAATAAAAAAAACATATGTGGGTGTCTGTTTAACTTATTATCTTATGAATCTTATCAATGAACTGTGCTTTCGTCCCGTAATGAACATTTTAAACACATTTTAACCCTTTAATTTCAACAGTCCAAACATTTTGGTCATAACTGGAGGACTTGTTTGAAGATCAGTTCTTTTATTATGTTTCAGGCTTCCTGTAGGCAGCTGCCCTGTTTTCTAGACTGAAGGAATGTGACTTTGTGCCACTTTCTGCTGTTTACATTAAATCATAAACATCAAGGATCATCAGACGTTGGACACTTAACTCCCACAGTGACGAGTTCCTCTGCAGCTCCTAACATATGAAGGTAAATGATAAATGAGGTAATGTGGATCATAATGATCATAAAGATAAATGAGGTTTTAGGATTAATGATCCAGAAACATATCTTTGTACTGAAAGCACGTTATTCTTTTTGTATTTGAGGAGTTTCTGAGACAAGGATTTAACTCTCAAGCAGCATTGAAATCACAACAGCTCTTGGATTCTTAACCAGACAACGGGGCTGAAAAGAGCCAACAGAGGTTTGTAGTAATTCATTTCCAACAGCTTCTTTTTTAATAATCCCTGCACCATAGCTACTGAACTTATCAAAACTCTAAAATTAACTGATTCAAATTGTTGAATCAGACTTAATCTGACAATGTTCACAGTGTGGTGCTCTCTGAGACATGACTTGTCTCTGAGAGAAGTCAACTACGAGTTGTTGACGTTTTATGAATGAAGAGAATACTTTCAGCGTGGTGTCTCATTTTCACTGATGATTCAACCAGGAACATTGTATGTCTATTACACTGTAAAAATCCTCTAGCGATCACCTCGAATTATATATGGAAAAATTAACTTGGCAAAGTTTATTTTATCACACAGCACCAGTTCAGCTGTTGCTGTAACTCAGTGGTACCGTCATGGTATCTACAAGTGTGTGTGATTTTATTTTTTATATTTCAACAGATTCAGACCAGAGAGAACTTACTTCACAATAACAGAAGCAACACTCACATCAAGATGGATGAACTTCTCTGACCACAAACACTTCTCATCAGATAAACCTCCCAAGAAGACAGCTGGTACCAACTGATTTATACTTTGATATTGTGATCACAAATTACTTGTCTTCGCCATAATGGATTCCATTGCAAATGCTTTTAAATCAAAAGGTGCAACTAGCAGGTGCCGTAAACGGCTTGCTGATGCTGTTAAAGAAAAAAGCAAAAAGCTGAAACTGGAGACGGGGCCTCTCCCTGTTTATAAAATTCCCCTGAAAGAAATAAAAATCAATGTGGAGGGGTGCAAACGTTTCAGCTTTGGAAAAGAGTCCACTAAACGTAATCGCACCATAATGGTTCTTGGAGCAACTGGTGCTGGCAAATCAACTCTTATCAGTGGGATGATCAATTACATTCTCGGTGTTGAATGGGAGGATCCATATCGGTTTAAATTAGTTGACGAGGGTCAGTCGAAGTCACAAGCTGAAAGCCAGACTTCTGAAGTCACAGCGTATAAAATCAACCATCAGGAGGGCTTTAAGATAGACTACTCACTCACTCTTGTTGACACTCCAGGCTTTGGAGATACAAGAGGCATAGAAAGAGACAGGATGATCGTAGAGCAGCTGCGTAATCTCTTCTCCTCTGAGCTTGGAGTCAGTGAGATTGACGCTGTGTGTTTCGTTGCTCAGGCTTCTTTGGCACGACTCACACCAACACAGAAATATGTGTTTGATTCAGTTCTCTCAATCTTCGGCAAAGATGTGGCAGAAAACATCAGGGTTCTGGTGACATTTGCAGATGGCAAACGTCCACCAGTTCTAGAGGCGATCAAGGCTTCAGGTGTCCCATGTCCTAAAACAAAAGACGGACTGCCAGTTCACTTCAAGTTCAATAATTCGTCATTGTTTGCAAAAAACAGATCATCTGCAGCAGAGAGCATGAGTGAGGAAGATGATGAAGATGGAAGCTTTGATCAGATGTTTTGGAACATGGGGACAAAAAGCATGCAGAGGTTTTTTGTTGCTTTAAATAAAGTAGAGACCAAAAGTTTGACATTGACAAAGGAGGTCCTCAGAGAAAGAAAGCAGCTTGAGAATTCAGTTGAGAATTTGCAGAAGCAGGTTAAACTTGGTTTAGCCAAGCTAGAGGAGATAAAAGAGACAACTGAACAACTTAAAAAGCACGAGGCAAAGATCAGCAGAAATGAGAACTTTGAGTTCGAAGTCAGTGTCAAAAAACCTTTTCAGACTGATATTTCTAGAACTGGAATTTACCTGACCAACTGTCAGCAGTGTCATTTTACCTGCCACGATAATTGTGCCTTTTCAAATGATGCAGATAAAATACGCTGTTGTGCAATGACCAATGGATACTGTACTGAGTGTCCAGGCAAATGTGTTTGGAGTGTACATCATAATCAGAAGTACAAATGGGAGTACAAGGAAGTGAAAGAAAAAAGAACAGTGAAAGAGCTGAAAGAAAAATACCTTGAAGCCACAGAGGCTAAGGCGCCTGTGCAGGCACTGATCGACAAGCTGAAGGCTGAATATAATGCTGTGCAGGCTGAGGTGGTGGCATTCATGAAGAGATCTGCCCAGTGTCTAAACAGACTAAAAGAGATAGCACTGAAGCCAAACCCTCTCTCCACTCCAGAGTACATCGACATGCTCATCGAGGGAGAGAAATCTGAGGCCAAACCAGGCTGGAAGCAACGAGTTCAGGCTCTGATAGCCATGAGACAAAAAGCTGAGTACATGGCTAAAGTAGAGAGAGGAGAGACACTGCTCAGGAGTCCATCAACTGACTTCCAGTGATTCAATGAAGGACAGACATAGAACAATGACAACCAAGACAAGGCTGTTACCAGCAATGACGACACTGAGACTAGACCTGGAGGAGACAGATTTTGAAACGGCCAAGACAGGGTTGATACTGCTATCACTGATACATTAAGACCTGTGCCAACCAGGGAAAGACCAATATCAGCCAAGAACAAGGGTAGGATCCTAGGGTCTTATCTTTGTGGCAGCAGTAGCATGATTTTGTTGCATGCTCATTTCTTTTCATTTAGTTTTTGGGGTTCCCAGGCTCTGAACATACCTGTTTGTGACCACATGGATGGAGTGGTGTAGGTGAGGCAGTGTTAACGCTGATCAGGCGGTGCACTCAAGTTTCTGCCTGCTCAGAACTCCTATGACAAATGCAAGTGGAAAGGCTTGTTTTAATGTCTTTATTTGACAGGCTTTAACACACAGCATGCCAAATTCACCAGAACCTTTAATGTATAGCTTTGCCTCTTTCACTTTGTTATACAATTCTTAAGCAGCTAAGCAATATTTTTGAATGAAATGACTGACGTGAGGGTGCTGTTAGTGATAATGAAATGATGAATCCAGATGCTATAGTAGCTATTATTCAGCTTATAACGCCTCCCTTTATTATCACCAACAACACTTCACCTAATTAAAACTTATACTACACAGTCTAGACCATAACTATATACATAGCTAGACATGTCACACACATGGACACAGTCAACTATACCATATCATGAATTTTCATTCATCAGATTATGGGATATCAAATAAGTGTCTTCTATATATCTATGATCTTACTTTTAAATAGTCTTTTAAATCTATTAGATGTGCAAGATCTTTTAAATCCATCCTCAAGATTGTTCCATACATTCACTCACTTTGAAATGCATTGATTTTTTGTATTCATCATTGCTTGTAATCTTTTTTTCAGTCATTTTTATGCTCATATTTGCTTTCTCTTTTTATAAACTTGTTTGAAATGTTGCATGGTAACAAATAATTATACACTTTACATATCGTTTGTCCAATTTTACAATCAACAAAATCAGAAAATTTTAATTCAATTTTAATACTTCTTTAGGTTCTGATTCTTATGCTTCTTTTTTGCAATATGATTAATGATAATAACTTGAATTCCCCAAATTGCTTCGATTATATGTATTTTACTGTTTGCATTTTCCTTTTTCATTGTGTGTGTTCCTAACTTTTATATTTAGAAAACAGGAAGGTGATATAAACAATGACTACTGAGACATAATCTATTGATGTGTGTTGAATAACATTTTATTGTCCTGTGGTTTAATAAAGAAGCTCTGACTAAACTATTAAACAATAAGTTTTACTACGGCCTTTAGTCTTTTCTCTTTTCCTGACATCAGCGTGTAGCTTATCACTTAACAGGCCAACCTTTGCTGACATCTTCATCATAAAGACACAATTGTTTCACAATACAATCAATCAATAAATGGCTATTGAATTATTTTCTAGCCCTGCATGCTTGCCACTTCTTCTCTGCATCAACATTCACGCTATAGACCAGATGACGACTCACAATTTCACAAATAGCATCTTAATCGTTTTAATATGATAAAATCTGAAATCATGCATGAGAGTTACAAAGAGAAAATGATGCTCACTAGACATGAAGCCAGGGAGGAAAATATTATGCAGATCTCGGTCCTAAAAACAGCAAAAACTTTAAAATAAAAATAAGACCAAAATGGTGTTGTTACATGTAAGCATATTAATATTCATCCTTAAATGTGGTTGGACATGCATACTATTGGAAGAAGCATCGTAAGAGTATAGATTTATACCAGCTATTATGTTATTGCATCAAAATCATGACACTAATAAAAAAAACACTTTAATGACTAAGTGATTAGTCTAAAAAATACTCACAATATAGTTTCTAGGTTGGCACACAGTTGATTTCATTCTGTTTTCAAAGCAATTCACTCTGTAGAACAAGACAGCAGAACCTTTGTCACACCGAAAGGGTTTAATTCTTCCTTTAGTGGAAGCTCTTTGCCTGTTTGTAGACATACAACACTGATTATTAGTAATAGATACTTCTGACAGCTGTTTTGTTCTGCAATATATAGTCTATTACTATAGAGTCAAGCACCCTCAAGTTAACCTGAAGACAGTGGAGACATAGAGTTACTTATTTTACTACATCCAGACAGACAAAATATAAACACCTGCCACAGTACTCAACACCACCTAATAAGGAGGGTGTAGTAACACGGTTTGTTCCAACACCTGCCTTCGTATCATGAGTTACTATCAGAACTGGTCTCTTGAATGATATAAAAAGAGAGCTCACTGTTGTTCATTGGGAATCTCTGCTGATCCGTGTAAGTGTAAGTGAACAGTCCTCTATATTGTACAATATATATATATATATATATATATATATATGTAAGTCTATACACTCATCTAAAGTGTTTTCTGTGTTTATTAGTGATGATATTTAAGCAGTTTCCAAAACACTTCTAATATTAAAGCCAGTTCAACTCTGGCAATTTGATGGTATTTGTTATACCATGGTAACTGTTACAATTAAATTATTTTGTATCCTGCAGTTGTTATAGATTTTATGTGTTTTGCATATTTTGTTTCTGAATTAAGTAAATACATAAATGTTTAAAGAAATTATACAATTGCAATCAGTTTACATTGTTCAATATAAGCTGCCTTTTACACAGAGCTGTCAGAATTTTGCTTTTTGATTGTGTTCTTAACCTTTTTATTTTCAGAAAAAACACAAAGGTGACATAGATAATTACTACTGACACATAAACTATTGATGTGTATTGAATAACATTTTATGGTCATGTGGTTTAATAAAATAAAGTGCTGACAATGACTCTCAGCAACAAACACAAAGACACAAAATACATTGAGGAGCTAAAATACACATTTTTACTCACTTCTCTCTATTTCACTTTACACAACTCTGCTGTGGCGTTTCTATAATAAAGCCTGAGTCCAGCAGAGAGAGGCTGAGTGAATGTGGTCTGGACTCTGTGGAGGAGAGTCATGGTTTCAGAGACGCTGTAGAAGGACAGAACACCTGCTGTGTGATCCAGGTACACTCCTACTCTGGAGGACCGAGGACCTGAGACTGGAGTGATGATGCTGTTGAACCTAAATGAAAAGATGTTTTGATCACAATATAATGCCCAAGATTTGTCATTATATCCAAATAAACTTTCCTCCCCTGCTCTGCTGATATTCTTGTATGAGACTGCAACACGAACTCCTTCTCTCCACTCCACCTCCCAGTAACAACGTCCAGTCAGACTCTCTCTACTCAGGACCTGAGGGTGTGAAGTGAATCTGTCTGGATGACGAGGATAAGGCTGTTTTTCCCTCATTACTGTTGCTTTTCTGTTTCCCTCAGATAATAACAGCCATGAATATGCTGTGTTTGGATCCACTGTGATTTCCTTTGAATATTTTAAGAAGTCAGCTCTGGTCCTGGGCTCTGGTTGTGACAGTAAAACATCCACTTGAGTCACTGTCAGTGAGATGTTTGTCCATGTCTCTGTCAGGACGTCCTGTAGTTTCTCTCTGAGCTGTGACACAGCTGCTGTCACGTCCTCAAAGTATCTCAGAGGACGGACATTGATGCCGGATGAGTCTGTAGAGTCACTGAGTGGTGACAGTGAGGGGTAGTTGTGTAGAAAGTGGTTGTGATCCTCTGTGTGTGAGAGCTGCTTCAGCTCAGCGTCTTTCCTCTTCAGCTCAGCGATCTCCTGCTGCAGCTTCTCCTGAAGCTCTTTGACTCGACCGGCTTCAGTTTCCTGCTGGGATCTGATCTGCTGCTTCACATCAGAGCGTCTTTTCTCCATGAGACGGATCAGCTCAGTGAAGATCTTCTCGCTGTCCTCCACTGCTTCATCAGCAGAGCCGTTGAGAGCCTCCACCTCCTGTTGAAGCAGCTTCACATCTTTCTGTCTGTCCTGGATTCTCTGCTGGATCTCTTGTCGCCTCAGCTGGAGCTCTCTCTGCCTCTCAGTCCTTTCTGCTGCAGCTGAGACTGTGTCGTGGCCTTTATGTTCATCCACAGAGCAGAGATAACAGATACACTGCTGATCGGTGCGGCAGAACATCTTCATCACCTCATCGTGACGAGAGCAGATGTTCTCCTGGAGCTTCTCGGAGGGCTCCACCAGCTTGTGTTTCTTTAATGGAGCTGCTTCATAATGAGGCTGCAGGTGATTCTCACAGTAAGAGGCCAGACAAACCAGACAGGATTTAACAGCTTTCAGTTTCCTCCCAGTGCAGACATCACAGGCCACGTCCTCAGGTACAGCACCGCAGTGATCAGCAGCAGCAGCTTGGAGTCCAGTCTTCTTCAGCTGCTCCACTAAAGCTGCTAACAAGGTGTTTGTCCCCAGGACAGGCCTCGGTGTGAAGGTCTGCCTACACTGAGGGCAGCTGTGGATTCTCTTCTCATCCTCTTCATCCCAGAAGCTTTTAATACAGTTCATGCAGTAGCTGTGTCCACAGGGAATAGTCACCGGATCCTTCAGTAGATCCAGACAGATGGAACAAGAGAAGGTCTCCCGGTCCAGCTGATCTGCTTTCTGCGCCATTTCAGCTCTCGGTGACAACGACTGTCTGAGTTTCACTTCCTCAGAACTGAAACTAGTTTGAGCTCTGATCTAAACAACATGTGTCTCTGCAGTGAACGGGGCCTGTCAGCTCTCGCACTTCACCACATGTTGGTTCCACCCATCTTCAAACTGTAGATCTGAAGGGAGGGAACAAGGAAACACATGAACAGAGTGGAGCTGGCTGTGTTTGAGAGCAGGAAGAAGAGGGAGGGGCATCAGGCTTTGACTCAGTCCAGGAAGTGGTTTGATACTGTGTGTTTAACCCTTTGTACAACATAAAGTTCAGAATATGACCAATAAAGATGCAGCTCTCCAGGCGGACTCACCACACACAGATAACAACAGCACAAAGTCCAAGTCAGGGTGTAGAGAACTGATCCCTCTGATGCAGGTGTCAACCTCTTTGCTATTGGTTGTTCATATGTCGAGGAGACAAACAGTCGTGATACAAACAAATATATTTATCAAACTAGAGACAGGACAAGCATCAGTTGTTTTTAAGATATAAATATGGTTTTAGCTGAGAAGTGATTAAGTTCTTTAGATACAGTGGAACGACTGATGTCATGAACAGAATACGTTGATTACAACATGTGTTGTTAATGTTGCAAAAGAAATGGTTGATATTCCTTAAAAGTCACTTTGGTTCATTTGTTCTTAGTCTTAAAACATGGTGAAATAATTAATAATAAAACATTAAATGTTCACAATATAAAAGGGTTTTTTAACCTACAGATCTATTAATAGATAAACCTGATTATAGAAGCTTTGTTAAAATGCTTCATGTTAAAATGTTAAAATACTGACATTGTGCTGAATTATTTTAAAATAATTTGAGGAAACGAGTCATGTAATGATTTGAAATAAGGCACTGATGGTGTTTGTTGCTTATTTATTTAGTATTAATGTATATGTTTTCTCTTTTTCAGCTTTTTTCATGTAAAGGTTTTTCTCCCAGCGGCAGTTAATGACCAGAGAGTGGAACCATGTAACTGAGACTGCTGAACCTTCCAAAATAAAAGGAAGAAAAAGGAAAAACTATGTCATCACTGAGTGAAATCCAGTTAAAAGCCATGTGGACGGACCAATCCCTTTCAAGTGGGGAAGCTGCACATTCTCCAGGGATAGCTCGGCAATGTGTTAACTAACTGCTGTACATTAAACTCAACACACTGAGAAGAGCATCTGAGGTTATCAGGAGTAACATAGGTAGAACAACTACCACCGTTCTGACTTCACAGCACTTCAAGGAAAATACTGCAAGGTATCAAGAAGAAAGGAAACTCACCTTTACACTCACACCAACAAACAGTTGTTACCAGGAGGGTTCTGCTGCAGGTGAAAGTGCTCGCACCTGAACTCAACTCTGTATATAACCTGTGATCAAGCCAGGCTCCTCCTCCTACCTGCACCTCAGTGATGACTTTCATATGACTCCTGTGAGGAGCGTCAGGGAGTGGTACAGAGTCCTCCTCCAGAACAGAAGGGAAGACGATCAGCTCACAAACAGGAAGCTTGTAGGTCCTTCCTCTAACACTGACCTCTGCCATGTGAACGTTCCCGTCTGGACCGGCTCGCAGACGTTGGACCCTTTCTATGGCAGCTGTGGGTCAGTCACCGTGACAACAGTGAGTGGGCTGAAGCTTCTTTACAATGTCTACAGGTTAAATATGTTGAAAGTGTAATTCTGTTTCACTTCTCATTATTGTTCTCTGTTTTTACTTTGGTGCCATCTGGTGGTAGCATGGAGAATAACACTGTAAGATAATAAGGCAGAGACAACAATGTGCTGCTCTACTTTACTACATCAGTGATGGAAACATGAGCCGTCATCACCACTGTGTCAAATTTGTCGTCAGGACCGGACTAAAGTTTTTAAGAATTTTCCTTTTTTTATTTATTGCAGTTCCACAATTTAAAATCCGTTCTCTCTACTTTTCTGCTCTAATCAGGTTTGAATAACAAAACCTCTTCACTGAGTGAGTGCACGAAACCAATCTGAGAAAAATCAAGTGGCAGAAAACCTCCAGGACAAAGATGATTTGGTGAAGAAAAACACCAAGGAGGACAGAGAACGACTGACAAACGTTCTCCATCCACTCCGACCTTCAATACCACCGTTTCCTCACTTCATTCACCCAGTTCACTTAATGGTCAGTTTTTACATCGTCTTATCCAAACTAGCTAACGTGTAGCTAAAGGCTAAAGTTAGAAACTAGCTAACATGAGTCAGCTAACCTGTAACCTGTGTCAAAATCAATCCACATGTCAGCAGACAAGCCGGTCTCACAGTCTTCATGAAATCACCTTAAATCTTATTATCTTATCTACTAATGATTCAGAACAGATGAATGAAGAGAGAAATCAAACTCAATTTGAACGAGAAAATAAAAATGTTGCAGAATAATTTTCTGACATACAAAAAAAACCCAAACCATATTGACACATTTGTTAGGAAACAGTTCAAATCCAGAATGATTTAAACACACATGGTTGAATCAGGAAGTTGTTTGTTGTAACTCTGAGTCCAGAAGGGCGTGGATGAACCAGATCAGCTGCTTCTGCACTTGATAATTTTGGGCTCCTGTCTGTTCCCAGAGTTAAAGAGACGTCTGCCGGCTGCAGAGCCCTTTCCTCTCGGGTCCCTCTGCTCTGGAACAACCTCCCTGCTGATATCAGACTGTCTGACTCCGTTCAGACTTTCAAATCTAAACTTCAAACGTATTTTTATAATTTAACTTTCAGTTAGCTTCTTATTATTTTACAAACTCAGGCTCTGTACCTGCTGCCATCCTACCACCAGTGGGTGGGCCTCAGTCTCAATAAACCAGTAAACTCAGTCCAGTATAGTCCAGGTTGTCATGCCGACGAGATCACTGTAAACTTTCTGAAAATCACTGCATCATTAAAACCATTTGACCAGAGAACTGATCCCTCTGATGCAGGTGTCGACCTCTTTGCTGTTGGTTGTTTATTTGTCGATGAGACAAAGAATTGTGATACAAACAAATATATTTATCAAACTAGAGACAGGACAAGCTTCAGTTGTATTTAGATATAAATATGGTTTTAGCTGAGAAGTGATCCAGTTCTTTAGATACAGTGGAACGACTGATGTCATGAACAGAAAAAAGAAACTGTCAATTCTACTGATTTATTCACTAACAAGACTGAACATGATTTAAAAATAATAATAATAATAATAATGAAACACTTTATTTGTACTTAATAGAATTTAATTGCAGATAGTGAAAAATATTATCACTTTGAATAAGTTAAAAAAATGTATTAAGTGTTGTTAAGCTTTTTATTTGATCAAGGAGATTTCATGAAATCAACCCCATCTTCTCTCAGCTGTTTCTAATTGAAACTGAATGTTACTCTGAGTCTCTCAAACCTTTTCCTAATAAGAAATGTTTGTCAGTAGTTAATGTTTTTTTACTCAGGTCTTTATTTAAGGCAAAGACATGAAAACACAGAGTTGAAATACTCTGATACAAGTAAAAGTCCCGCAGTCAACATTTTCTTTAAGATAAAGTATAAAAGTATTAACATGAAAACACACGTAAAATATCAAAAGTAAAAGTCCTTTCAGAATCATTTCAATCATATGACTGGTTTCTGATTATTGATGTATTAATGTGTAAACAACACTTTAATGTTGCAGCTTGTGAAGATGGGAATCATTTTAATGACTTAGATTAAACTTTTTTCACCTGTAATAATACATTATAATTAATTATTGATTATATTTCGTATCATTAATATGAATCTGCAAAGTGAGCATTAACTGATGCTGCCCTCATATTAGTTTGACATGTTCTCCGTCAGCTTTGAGTCAGATCCTGGAGTGAAGACGGAAGGAAATATTTGATTGATTGTTGAGGAAATCAATTTTATTCATGACGTGAAGCTTCAGTTTGTTCACACACTGAATCAGTAAAGTCTTTTCAATGACTCTTGTTCAGTGATTTCATGAACATATTCACTTCTTCCACACAATCAGTTTGTTTCACATGAATCTCAGAGAGGGAAAAGAAAGTAATCAGTCATCTCCTCATTGATTATTATTTATTATTAGTTGATAAAACCTCATAGACTTTATTTGTGAGTGGATTTGAACAACGACAACATTTGTTCTGACAAACACATCAATGTAAATGTAATTCTAGATTTCTGTCTTTACACAATGAGAACAAAACATCTGTGATAAAGGAAGGTCTGGTGATTTCTCTGTTCAGACCCAAACAACAACATACAAACACATCAACACAAACATCCAACAAACACTCAGAGCTCAGAGAAGTTTGTGTTCTCATGTGGAGAAATGTGAGTTCAGGAGAAACTAACATCATCATGAGCAGTGATATCCTCCATGGCTCCAGATCGGCCTAAAGTCACTCCTACATCGACACCACAAGAAATGAGAAGAGGTCAAAGTGCTGACAATGACTCTCAGCAACAAACACAAAGACACAAAATACATTGAGAGGCTAAAATACACATTTTTACTCACTTCTGTCTATTTCACTTTACACAACTCTGCTGTGCCTCCTCTATTATAAAGCCGAAGTCCAGCAGAGAGAGGCTGAGTGAATGTGGTCTGGACTCTGTGGAGGAGAGTCATGGTTTCAGAGACGCTGTAGAAGGACAGAACACCTGCTGTGTGATCCAGGTACACTCCTACTCTGGAGGACTGAGGACCTGAGACTGGAGTTTTGATGCTGTTGAACCTAAATGAAAAAGTGTTTTGATCACAATATAATGCCCAAGATTTGTCATTATATCCAAATAAACTTTCCCTCCCTTCTCTGCTGATATTCTTGTATGAGACTGCTACACAAACTCCTCTTCTCCACTCCACCTCCCAGTAACAACGTCCAGTCAGACTCTCTCTACTCAGGACCTGACAATATGTAATGAATCTTTCTGGATGATCAGGATAAGACTGTTGTTTGAACGTAAATTTAACTTTTCTGTTTCCCTCAGATAATAACAGCCATGTGAAAGCTGTGTTTGGATCCACTGTGATTTCCTGTGAATATTTTAATAATCCAGCTCTGGTCCTGGGCTCTGGTTGTGACAGTAAAACATCCACTTCAGTCACTGTCAGTGAGATGTTTGTCCATGTCTCTGTCAGGACGTCCTGTAGTTTCTCTCTGAGCTGTGACAGAGCTGCTGTCACCTCCTCAAAGTATCTCAGAGGAAAGATATTGATGCTGGATGAGTCTGTAGAGTCGCTGAGTCGTGACAGTGAGGGGTAGTTGTGTAGAAAGTGGTTGTGATCCTCTGTGTGTGAGAGCTGCTTCAGCTCAGCGTCTTTCCTCTTCAGCTCAGCGATCTCCTGCTGCAGCTTCTCCTGAAGCTCTTTGACTCGACCGGCTTCAGTTTCCTGCTGGGATCTGATCTGCTGCTTCACATCAGAGCGTCTTTTCTCCATGAGACGGATCAGCTCAGTGAAGATCTTCTCACTGTCCTCCACTGCTTCATCAGCAGAGCCGTTGAGAGCCTCCACCTCCTGTTGAAGCAGCTTCACATCTTTCTCTCTGTCCTGGATTCTCTGCTGGATCTCTTGTCGCCTCAGCTGGAGCTCTCTCTGCCTCTCAGTCCTTTCTGCTGCAGCTGAGACTGTGTCGTGGCCTTTATGTTCATCCACAGGGCAGAGATAACAGATACACTGCTGATCGGTGCGGCAGAACATCTTCATCACCTCATCGTGACGAGAGCAGATGTTCTCCTGGAGCTTCTCGGAGGGCTCCACCAGCTTGTGTTTCTTTAATGGAGCTGCTTCATAATGAGGCTGCAGGTGATTCTCACAGTAAGAGACCAGACAAACCAGACAGGATTTAACAGCTTTCAGTTTCCTCCCAGTGCAGACATCACAGGCCACGTCTTCAGGTCCAGCATAGCAGTGATCAGCAGCAGCAGCTTGGAGTCCAGTCTTCTTCAGCTGCTCCACTAAAGCTGCTAACATGGTGTTTTTCCCCAGGACAGGCCTCGGTGTGAAGGTCTGCCTACACTGAGGGCAGCTGTGGATTCTCTTCTCATCCTCTTCATCCCAGAAGCTTTTAATACAGTTCATGCAGTAGCTGTGTCCACAGGGAATAGTCACCGGATCCTTCAGTAGATCCAGACAGATGGAACAAGAGAAGGTCTCCCGGTCCAGCTGATCTGCTTTCTGCGCCATTTCAGCTCTCGGTGACAACGACTGTCTGAGTTTCACTTCCTCAGAACTGAAACTAGTTTGAGCTCTGATCTAAACAACATGTGTCTCTGCAGTGAACGGGGCCTGTCAGCTCTCGCACTTCACCACATGTTGGTTCCACCCATCTTCAAACTGTAGATCTGAAGGGAGGGAACAAGGAAACACATGAACAGAGTGGAGCTGGCTGTGTTTGAGAGCAGGAAGAAGAGGGAGGGGCATCAGGCTTTGACTCAGTACAGGAAGTGGTTTGATACTGTGAGTTTAACCCTTTGTACAACATGAAGTTCAGAATATGACCAATAAAGATGCAGCTCTCCAGACGGACTGAAGTGAAAACTGCTTGTTGTATTCTTGCTGTTGTCACAGTACTGATTTGGATTATTTAGATGTTGAGTTTAAATGACCTCGGTAACTGAGTGAGAGCTCATGACTTGAACTGTGATGTAAATTCTCATCCCACTTTCACTGATGTGGATTTCTTGAATATTAATCAATTTAGAATGTTTATTAAACATCACTTTATTTTGGTAGGATATGTTGCATAAACAAATGAATATGTTATCAAAAACAGTTAGAAAAATGGCAAAGGATAAGGAAGTATTGGCTTGGTTGCAATTGTGTCGAGATAATTATATTTCGTTTTTGTTTTTTTGAAAAACAAATAATTGAAATTTATGATGCAATGCAGAATCTGATTTATTTTGGTTTATTTCTTATTCAGTTATTCTTTAATAATTTATTCAGGCCTGATAGCCTGATTGATTTTTGTAATGTTATATTTGTGTTCACTATTTGGTTTGTTGTGTGACTTAATGTGTTAAGTTCGATCTGTATTACATGTTTTGTCTTCTGGTTATTTATGTCTTATTTTTGTTCAATTAAAAAAAAAAGAAAAAAATGCAATTCAGACAGCCAGGGTTTAATACGTCACAAACCTAAGGAACAAGTCCTGTCAACTTGTGAGGACGGGGGGCGGGGCTAAATTATCCTGAAACCTTGTCAGTACAAAGAGAGAGTTAGCATTAGCACAACCGCTAACACTGTGTCAGCCACTGCCAGTTACAAGCTAACAAACAACATAAAGAAATAAAAGATGCTAACTGTGCTAACGGTTCTGACCCGTCTGCTAGACTCTGGATCTGGTCTCAACAGACTCCTCCTCTGAGTCTGGGTCTGACTGAGTCTCTCTGATGTTTCCTCCTCTGACCATCTTGATGCTCTCTGCTCTTTCACCTGTCCACCTGGAGCCAGCAGGTGGTGGGCGGGGCTAAAGGCCTGATCCAGATTTGTCAATGAGGAAGTAAGTGTAGATGATCTTACATGATTTCCATGTTTTTATGAAACATAATTTAAGACGCTGTTTGTCATCTCACCTGTTCCTCCCCTCTTTCTGTCATGTTTGTGTTTGTCCAGGTGTTGCCCTTGTCTTAGTTTCTGTCTGTGACAGTTACCTACAGTGTCAGAGTCAGTGTTTAACCCTGTTTCCCTCAATCAAACACATGTTGACATGTGAAGGAAAAATGGTGAATGTCAGTCTCCTCAAACTTGAAGTGAATTGATTTGACACTAATACATATTCAAAAGCGACCAGTTTGTTTTATAGAGCATCTAGTAAAATCACAAGAGAGGTGGACAAGAGTCATATACACCCAATTGGAAACAAACATGTCATTTTTGGATATTTTCCTATTAAACCAGACGTCATCAGGGCCTCATGTTTCACCTCCTGTAGGCCACAAACTCTGTGTCCTGGTTTGACCCCCTTCCAACGCAGACCAGTTGTGTCTCCATGCTGTTGTGCCGTTTCCCTTTTGTTTCTTCTTTTGTTCCAGTTTTTCCCACAGCACTTGAATGCAGCACGTACTCCAACCAACTCCCGTAACACGCAGGAGAAACTTTTACACCACAAACTCCACAGTGAATGGAAGTTCACTACTCCGGTCTTCCAGAAGTGACATGAGTCCCGCGTCAGCCTTGGACCCTTGGCGCTCTGAGTCGACGCTTGGCACCATAGTGATCCGCTCACAAAGCTCCGCCTCCTGATGAGTCTTCTGGATTTGAATGTCGAGATCAGTTTGCCTCTGAGAAAAGATAAAGGAACAGTCGGCCTCACAAACTTTCTTCATTCACATTCAAAGTTGAACGTTTCAGCACACATTGATAAAACACTCACTTTTTCTATTTTAGAAAATATCTTGAGCAAATTATGATGAAGTATCTCAGGTCCTGGCAGATTTTTGGTCTAATTTGAATTAATTTGCGTAAAGAATATTAAATGTCTTATTTCCACATCTTAAATTTTTCCATTACAAATCACTTCAACAAAAAGAAGACAAACAACACTTTACATCTTAAAGCTGAAGTAGGTCTTTGAATTAGAAAAACATAATTGTGCTGATTATTATTGTAATTGTGATGAATTTGGCATTTTTAATATAAAATAACTTTTTTGAACAAAGCAGCTTTTGCGTATGTTCCTATGAAGTGTTTTATACACACTGAATATTTCAGTAACCAGTAAGTTTATTTCTACAGAGGCAACACGCCTTTCTGATGCTGATCTAGTATTTCTTCATGTATTTATCAGAGATGGAACTGACCAGCGAGTCGGGCAGTGGCTCTTTATGGAAATATGTTTGGCAGGCATCTGGATGACAGTGACTGATGGACCAGAACACGGCGAACAGGACACCCGCCATGATGATGACAGTCACGGTCACAGTGGTCGCCCTCTTCCACGCAGCGTCTGGACCTGCCAACAGTAAAAACATCCGTCTTTCTGTTTGCACACTGTTGGTATGTTAGATAGTTTTTACCAACCGGATCATTTGGACTTTACAGCTGTGTACAGATGAAAGGTGTGATAATTATCTTCTGACAGTAACTGTCATTTGTGGCCATTTTCCCTTGATTACATCCGGTTGGGATCCAGACCTGTTCACTGCTTCATCCTGGGGACAGAGCAGCTGATTCTCCACTCTACTGGTTTGTGAGATTTTTTAGTTTTTTATGTTTTCACCTGTATCAGTCAGTCAGTCAGTCAGTCAGTCAGTCAGCAGGATTACACAAAAGTACTGAACCGATTTGCACAAACTAGGTGGAGGACATGGACATGGACCAGGGAAGAACCTGTTAAGTATTGGTGAGGATCCACTAAAGGTGAGTGCCCAGGAATTTCTTTTATGACTTATTCCTTAACATTGTGAACATTTTTCAACATGTTTGATAATTTCTCAGGACAGAGAGTTTGGATCTTTATGTTTAAAAAACATCAGATGTGTTAACGGTTTCGAGATCTATGAGGTTGTACATTTCGGTAAGAATATGGATTGTGAAAACATTTTCTGAAGGTCAGTCAGTGCTCTTGAAAAGTGGGAATATTTTTGAAATGAGACATTTTAAGAAAGTAAAAACATGAATCATGAGGATGTTTTTGGAAAGGTATTTTTGTAAAATTAGGGAATTTTGGGAGAGTGGGGACATTTAAAAGTTAAGTTAAAGGAAAAACATGGAATGTGCAGAAACTTTTATAAACGCACTTTTGGAAAATGAGATTATTTTTGAAAACGGGAACATTTTAAGAAAAGTAAAAATAGTAATTATTATAGATATTTTTGGAATTTAATTCTATATGAAGTCATTTTATAAAATAACATTTTTGTAAAGTAAAGACATTTTGAAAAAGTGAGTTTGGAATTTGGAAATGTTTGAAAGTTAGAATAGTTTAGCAAAGTAGGAACAGGAAATGTAAGGACATGAGGACACATGTCAGCAGAAGTTGTCTCAAGTAAGAACATGCGTGTGTGAGTTTGCATGTACACCTGTACCTGTGAGGGACAGACAGTGGGGGTCGGTGCTGCGGCTCTGGAGCTGCGGTTGCAGGATGGTCTGAGCTCTGACGCAGTACACGACTCCCTCCTGCAGGGCGGCGACATGCAGCATTTTCTGCTCAGCTGGCATCCTGTAGACAACAGCCTGAGGAGAGGGAGAGAGAAGAGCATGAGAAAATACAAGCATAGATGGAAGAAGGTAAGAACAGATAAAGGATGAAAGACAGAAAGAAGGAAAGAGAAAAGAAGAAAGGAAACGAAAGAGTAGAAGTAGAAACAAGGAGAAATGGAACAAAGGCAAGAAGAGAAGAAGAAGGGAATAAAGAGCTGAGGGGAACTCTGACCTGCAGCTCGTCGCCTTTTTTCCACACCGTCACATTGACGACGGCCGTGTGAGGAAGTTTGTCAAACGACACTTGCAGGGCGCCGCCCACTGTCGACACATTCATCTCTGGCACCGTCAGCACCGCTGCACATAAGATTCACACTCTCACTCATTTATTCCTAGACTAGACTAGACTATGGTGGACAAAGGTCAAAGGTCAGTGTGAGTTTTTTAGCCATTACTTGATACTTCACACAGCAATTATGACAAGATTTCACACAAATAGTAAATAGTAATTCTAGTTTATAATGTCAGAATCTATGAGGGGGGGGGGGACTGAATACAGTGATTTTAAAATGAGTCATCAGTTTTCAGCCTGACAGTTTAATCGTGGTCTCAGATTTCATCCGCCCATGCAAACGCAGTACCAGATTTTGGCCTGCAGATGTCGCCATTTCCCCACAGTGAAATCCTTCATGGTGCTTCAGTGCTTCACTACGCCTCATTTACCCCATCACTAGTTGTAGAAGTGATCATTTGGTGTAATAATAAGATCGCTGTATTATTAATTATAACAATAATCTGATCATATACATTTATACATTTGGTTCAGGGGCAGAACTGAGAGCAGAGGGGCAGCAGCTCGAGTCCCTGCAGCCACAATGTGTGAATGTCCGTTACTAGAACATGTTTGGTACAACTGACAAACCAAGAGATGGCGCCTCTGAGCAGCTTCACTAATTCTGAGAATAACAATATGTGGCGTGAATATGAAGTGATTCTAACAAGGCAGCATAAACAGAGCAAAAATTCACCAGTCAAAAATATCTGCATTCTTTGAACAAGTTTTTAATTTGTCTAATATTTGATTTCACATGTGAGGAAGTGAAATCATTTGCTGTGTCTCTGTAAAACCTGCCCTGTCGCCGTCTTACTGTCTCTGCGGTTGAAGGGTCGGCTGAGTTCGGTCCAGGCCGAGAGCTCCGACCCGCACTGCGCTCTGACCTGGAGGTTGTAGTCCGAGTCGGAGCCCAGGTCAGAGGTCAGGTCGCAGTGAGTGTGACGAATCCGCTGGCACTCATGAGCGTCCACCCAGCTGCCGTTCTGGACCGTCAGCTCGAACTCGCTGAATGAGAAGGAGACACAACATCACAGAGAGTTTTAACCTGAACTGTTCCTGTTGTGTTTTTATTTAAAATGATAGTTTCCTGGGTTACAGTTGCTCATGTCATGTTCTGACAGCATGTGGCCGCCACAGAGTGAAGAGCCAGATACCAAGTCCTGCCTCTGGCCTCATTTCATGCCAAACTGCAACCAACATTATCTGGTGGCTTCAACGTACTGAGGAAATTTAAGATAAGATTTAAAGAAGTAGCTGAGACGTTCAAAAGGAACCAATACTGATATCAGCTTTTAAATACGCTGAACTCTGCTCCCGTCAAAACAGGGAAGTGTTGTAAGACTTGTCAACAGCCACGGGCCTTTACCTGAGAATGAACTAATACTGTGTGTGATTGACAGCTGACATGACACAGACTGAAGGTAGAAACTGTGAGTGTGAGTGTTGATATGTCATCACAGCGTCAGAGCAGACACACCTGCCGATTAGAGTTTATTTCAGCAGGTGTGACATTAATGCCTGTAAGTAGATCAGAATTTAATTGTGCACAATGATCAAGTAGAACCTGCTGGTCTCAGCTACGTGTTTCACATACTTTACCTGAGTAAACCTTTCACACTATGTTGTTACTACTGCAAATACACTGTGGCCAAAACAATGAGATGATTAATTAGTTGGTCCATCAGCAAAAAGTTTGATCATTGATCAGCAGCATTGTTGCCAGATTGGGCAACCTTCAGGTAAAAGCTGATTTGGGCTTTTTGTACCATTCGTTATTAATTGTTGTAGTTGTGCTGCTCATCAAACACAAGTAGCAGCAGCTTTAAAGTAGGTTACTTTAAAACTCTTAACCACCTGATTGCTGCAATCTGAATCATGACAAATCTGAACACACAGACATGAGGCAGTGATTCCCACTTTCAGAGGAAATCATTATCTTTGATTTGCATTGCAGATTGTATCTATATATATGTATAATATAACTGAATAAACATCCATAAACCCACTTAGTGAATAAACAAAAGTGAGCCCAGCGCCTATGAACTGAAATAAGTGGCAACCTGACATGAAACTAAAATCATGTGTCTGACTCACCCCTGGAACTGGACAGAGTAGAGGATTGAAGTGCCGCACGACGCCTGTGGGGGGCGCCACCTCAGTGTGTGTCTCATGTTGACAGACTCCATGGAGACTGTGCCGGGAGCCGGCAGCATCCAGACCTCTGCTGACACAGTGAGGGGAGGGATTATAGTCAGGGTGGCAACTTGAGGTTTTAAGGCACTTGGGTTTTTACAGTGAACTGAGCTGAAAAACCCAACACTTATATTTAACAGTGTAATCCTCAGGCTCTCTGTCAGTGTTGTTTGCTTTATTTACCGGTGCACAATGAATCTCGGGGGAGGTTGGACCACAAAGAATCCATCGTCAGATCATTCGTTGTCCAGGAAAAGAAGGACGCATTTGAAGGAGTCTTTGAAATGGGACAGTCTAGTCACGCAGGGCACCATCAGTAAGACGGTGTCCTGAAAACTGCCGAAAAGTTGAGTGTAAAATGATGGACACTTCTCACCATCAACAGTCGCCACCTTGGCTACGTAGCAGGAGGGGAGGGACCAACGTACTTTCAAACTTGTGAATATGGCGGCAGAGGAAGGAGGACATGACACCAGCGCACACTAGCAGCGTTTCCATTTACCTGCTTAATGCGTGATTTGAAATTGCCAACTAAAAAACGAGTCACGGAAACACGTGAGATAAAAAATAAAAATAAAAAAACTTTTCAAATGTAGCAAAAAAAATAAATGTTTGCATCCTCGCACGAGGTGGGTTTTCAGACTATTCCACAAAGCAATATTTCGGGGACTTGAAATGGAAACACTTTTTCTGCTTTTAAGTCACATGACATCCAAAAACTGATTCCGTCATTACCTGCACCGGACACCCTCGTTGCCCCAACGATTAGCAGATGATGGAAATCCGTCACCATGTTTAATTGGGACGATATCGCCAGAGGAGAAAACACAGCTTTTAACATCATTCAGTGGAAAACACGTTCACAATTATGTTTTGCCAAAAAAATCGCTTCTATTTTTAGCAAAACTGCGAAGGAAAGTCGGCTAATTGCAATCACATGTTTGATGTTTGATTGATAATGTTTGATTTCAGACGACACAACCCTGTCAAAGGCCACGCTCCACTTGGTGAGCTGTGTGCATGAGGACCGGCAGGTGCAGGTCTCTGCAGAGTACAGACCTCATGCAGGCCACCTCTATGTTCAACTTCCTGGATCAATTAGCTTGTCACACAACGATTAAAACAACACACGATATCGGTTGTGTTGGAATTTGGTCGAATTCGTTCAAACTTAAACTACAGTCACCTCCTCGTGGTCGTATCCCTCCACCACTCAGACTAGTTTCAGGTCACATCCCTGTTTATCCAGAGTCAGATAAAATATAAACCGTTTGTGTGAAGTCTTGAGTTATGGCTCAAAAGTGTTTCTGAGGTCACCGTGACCTTTGACCTATGATCACCAAAATCTAATTTTAATTTTAAGAAGTTCTGTCAAGACAGACGGACGGACAACCCGAAAACAAAATGTGTCCGTCTCTGACTGTCGCCAGCACGGAGGAATAAAAAGTGACAGCCCTAAAAAGTTTCCTGTGTTTGAATCGTGTTTTTACTTTCAGACATCATGTTCATCCCTCCAGCTCCTTTCACAAGGTATTGATCTGGTGTTGTAACTGATCTCTTTCTGACAGATTAGGACCTGAAACAGACTCTACTGAGAGAAAGTGAACTCACCGTTCAGCAAGACCATCATCATCATCATCATCATCGGCAGGAGACTCACAGTCCATCTCAGTCTCATGACCTCAGTGTTCAGTCCCCGACTGAAAGGAGGAAAAGGTCTGTTCACGTCAGGTCCACCATGTCCCAAACCCAAACTGATCCAGAATACAACATTTCATTTGATCCAGAAATCCCTCAGCAGAGAAAACCTGGTTACTTCAGTTCATCCAAGAGGTGAGTAAAACCCTTAAATCCACTGTGAAGATGACACTAATACCCAGGTTAATCCTTCAGGTCAAGATCCGCGTCGTTTCTCTCGCCGTCTGAGTCGTCGGTTCAAACACATGAGAAGCAGAAGCCATGTGTGCGTCAGATTCCTGGACCTGCAGAGAAAAGCTGGTGTGTCCGGATGCTGAGGATGGATCCGGGGCGGCAGAGCCGGTCTGACTTGTTGTCACCTCCCTCGGGGCGTCAGCTGTCATCTAATTTACTGGCTGACCTCATAACATGCCTGAAGACGCTATGGGGCCTGTAGAGCTGCAGGTATGTGGAGCCCTGCTGAGGGTTTCTGTGTTACTGTTTTCTAATGACAAACAGTCTCTGTGCTGTTGAGACGATACTGTTCCTGACGCCTTTTGTTAACGGGGCTGAGTCTCTCCTTATTAAAAAGCTAGAAATTAGTGGAAAAAAGAATTTTCTTTTCACAAAGACAAACAACATTTTTAATACTTAATTAATACTGTGAAAGTATCAAAGCCTCAGTCCACAGAGAAATGCACACAGCCTGTATTCAGAAACTGAGCCTTAAAACCAGCCGTCAGGACTTCTGGAACTTTGTGATGTCACAACAAAGCAGTCACCAAGCCCCGCCCACCTGGACCCACCATCCAAACCTTGCAGGATTTGGTTTCTTTACCTGAAATCTGCTATATTTTTATTGGATCACTCAGAAAACAGTCAGCCAATCAGAGGAGAGGCTCAGAGCCTCCTCTCTTCTGGGGGCAGTTGCACACACAGTGCACCATGTGGTTTATCTGTAATCAAGAACATTTATACTGTGAATACTCAATTTATGCAAAAACACAGTATGAATAGCTGAAGCATGACGTCCTCTGTCCCTGTGTCCTTATAGTCCAGCAGGTTCAGCAGGTTTTTATTTCACAGTAGAAAGTAACAGGAACATTGAGTCTGTTAACAAAACATATTCAGACATCATATTCATCATATTCACGAATCATATTCAGACTGTCCGAGTGAATTCCATCGGGAGTGAAGGTAGAAGAAAGGGATCCAAAGAAAGAAATAAGTGCAGCATGAAAATTCTGGAGGAAATAAAAATAAAACTCAGATAGATTGAAATGGATCGGTTCAGGTGGATTTCTCCTGCACTTGTTGTTAGAAACTGTTTCGAAACAGTGGATGTGCCGCTTTTCTTCTCATGTTTAGGGAGAAACTTATTGGGATTCACAATGTTTTCGTTCTGTCTCTCTGAGAGAGAATAACCCGCCTCAGTCTGATCCTTTTTGTTTGTTTCTGTAGGACTGATTCACTCGGGTATGAAGTGTGAAGTGTCAGACTTTGGACTTATGATGATCAAACATTAACTGTCACCAGCCATAAAACTATAAAACAGAACCAATAAAACAACCTGTGAACCAGCTGTCTGCTTCTTCTCTCTCTGTCTCAGCCTGAAACCAACAGACACACAACAACATCTGTGACAACTCACTTTCCACATTATTTCTTAAGGTACTTGCTTAAAATCACAATATTCAAAACTATCTTTGCTCTTTTTTATAATAAAAAATTGAAGCCCAGTCTTTTGAAACTCTTGTGAAACAAACCTTTACTGATGTGGATGAATTGTTTTGGTGTTTGAAATGTGTTTATCAAAGTCTTAGGTTCATAACAATAGTGCAACATGTGAGTAAAATAGTAGATTAATGCATAATAAATGCCTAAAACCTTAGAGGCCTTCTATCTCCACCTATGAGTCACGTACGAATATGAAACAGAAAGTGGAGAGTCGACAGATCCCAACAACATTTAAACCATATTGCTACGCTGTGTTATCACAAAGATATTAATGGGAACATCCGTCGACCTCAGAGATTTAATATAATATTATATTTATTCACAGTTTAAAATGTGCTCACACAGGTTCAAGCAGCTGTAACTTTTCCATTTCCACTGCAGCCCTCACAAAAGGGTCAAAATACTTACTACAAAATACATACATAATCGCCTCTTCCACAAAAGATTATGTCATTATTAGGGCGAGGAGGAGTAAGACAGGAGACATTCCTGCCCTCCATGTTTATGTGACTCGTCAGTGAAACAGTAGGCTGGGACCTGCACTTCTTTATTTGGACATAAAAATGTTTATTGTCCTTTTACTTCCTACAACACATCGCAGTGCGACGTCTCCTTTTGTCAGCGTTCCGAGGCAGGAAGTATGTGAACGGTGAACTTCAGAATAAAGGAGAGGATGAAACTGACGTTGAGCAGCCGTGTGCGAAACGTCACTGCAATAAAAAATGTTTATCTCAGTTTCATGGTAATAACTGCTGCTGGTTCACACGAGCTCAGTATTCTTATTCTTATGCCCCATTTGTTCCTTACTTTTATAGTTTCAGGTTGATTCTCTTATGTATCTGAACATCACAGTCCAGACGAGCTGAATCCTTTTCAGTTATTTTCTTTCCACCATGCACTTAAAACAATAAGCTTAACGCCCTCAGTTTTAGCTTCTAAGGCCACAGGCTGCTTATTGGTGAGGGTTGTTGAATGGAGTTCCTGCAGACTCTTACGGTTTTAAAGAGAAATCTGCAACTTTGTGATTCTGCTTAAAAGAAACCAGAACTGAACACCTTTCAAAAATGAGACTGTAAAGTACAGTGCTCTTTGTAGAGAAGATGCAACTTTACTATCAATCAGACTGGTATCTAAAAAGATCGTAAGTAGGGTGAGTACATTAATAAAACAGATATCTACGTAATATTTATATCTGCAACACCAATTCTAAAACCAAACTGCCATTATTCCCTTTGCTCATTTTGCATGTGAAGAACTGAGCTGTTTTCACTGTTACATAAACACATCACAGCTTCTTCATTATATTCTTGTTCTCCTTCCTCTGAACATTTCTTCCTGTTTCTCCTCCTACTATTCACAATCACCAAAGCAACAACCTGCTAGCAACCACTTTAACTCCCTAATAATTACTTGCCTGGCAACACACCGAAAAAAAACCATTTAGCGACACAGTAGCGAGCAACACTTTGCAAAGTCCTAGCAAGCACCTAGCAACAACAGCCCTAGCAACAAAATAGTAACCAATAGAAACGTCCTGCAGGATAGAAATGCCCCTTACCAACCACGCTGTGTACTCAGCCTCTTACTATGTCAAAATCAACTGAACACCTAGCAACACCCTAGCAACACCCTAGCAACACCCTAGCAACACCCTAGTGGCCAAATCCAAGCATCTTATAGAATTCCTAATAAAAACGTAACAACTACCACAATCAAGTATTTAGACCAGAAATACTCCCCCCACTACCAGGTATTTAGCAGCATCTCAGCAACCAGGTGCACCATAGATACCACTCTAGCAAATCGTTAGCAACCACCTAGAGTCTTTTGGCATGAGGTGGTTTTAGCCTCTTCCTGTCGTGGCTGTAGTTCACTGCGTTGTTTTTGTTGCGGCACGAACGGATTGTGTTTGTTTTCTGTAGCTTTCTGTTTGCAGAGCATCTCTATGTGGCCGCAGGGAGACGCAGCTTTGAACGCAGAGCTGTGGATGGTTTTCAGGGTTATCTTAGGTGTGGTTGAAGGTTCATCATCATCATCATGATGATCAGTGCAGGTGGGTGGCGAGGTGGGGAAACAGGGAGCGGCTCTCAGCAGTTTATGGCCGTGGCAGAGTGTAAAGTCCTCCTGTTCGAGCCACAGACGTCAGATTAACAAGAAACAACTGAAGGACAGAGACCAGAGCCTCCGACAAGACAAACTGCTCCTGGATTCCCTCGTTTTCTATCTCAGAAGACTGAAGACAAGGACCTGTGATCTTTTCATTCCCCTTTGTTTCACTTTTGAAGGCTCGACTTGACGGCTTCGTTCTCTTTCGACTATTTGTGGCAGTTGGATTTCCTCTGAGGGTCTCTGTTGTTTCATCTCAAGAGTTTTCTGGGAAAGTTGCCATCATGTCGACGGCTATGGAAGGGGTCGGATTCATCATGTGCATAATCAGCTGGCTGGTCACCGGGGCCGCACTGGCCAACGACTACTGGAAGATTTCCACCGTGTCCGGCAGCGTCATCATCTCCCAGAGGCAGTTTGAGAACTTGTGGCACGCCTGTGCCGAAAACAGCGCCGGCATCGCCGAGTGTCGGGACTTTGAGTCGCTGCTTGCCCTCCCCGGTAAGACGACATCAATGACCTACTGAGTTTTAAAAGCTTTTTCTTTAAAAGCAATTTTCTGGAATAAGGTGCAAGTGTAAGACATTTTAAGGGTTAGGGTTAGGGTTACCCTAACACTAGTCTCTTTGGTTTTTGCTTCAGTTTTCAAGTTTTCTTCTTCTGGTAAAAGTCAAAAAGAGTGTATGGGCACCTACATATTCAGTCTCAAGTCTGTGATGAAGTCTATAATGTACATGAGGTGGAAACTGTCACTACTGAGAGATATAAAATAAAACAAGAAATAAGAAATAGATAAAGATAGACATTTAACAAATGTAATGTCTTTTTAACTTCATTGGATCTTATTTATTTTGTTTTCTATATATATCTTATCAAATCTGTTGCTCAGAAAATAGGCCAACAGGCCATGTGGCACCGTTTCTGATTTAGTCGTCCAAAGGTTGGTGGGTTTTACAGTCCGGAGTTTCCCGCCTGAAAAAAAATGAAGATACTGGTCGGACAGTTTGCCGCACAGAAAACATGATTATCTTCATATACAATTGGTTTCGTATACATTTTATACTTAGTTTTAGTACCTAGTTCATTTATGAGTAGATCACTTTTCCTCCCATGATGTGTCATATAAGATTATCTGTTCAGCGCCATTTTGAGCTTCATCCTCCACTGACAGTAAAATGGAGGGAAACGCCTGTGAAGTCGAAACAGAAAGACGCAGCCGCTGTTGCTTTACGTTCACGTTAGTTTGTCTTTGCTTGTTATATCTTTTGTCTTATGGTTTTTTTTAGTCATAAAGTAGTTGTCAGATTCCTGTTGAGGCAGACTGGTTAACCTTTGGTACGTTAACATACTTTCACATTATTGGCTGAAAATAAAGGCCTGTGATTGGTCAGACAACTTGATTTAAATATCTCAAATATTTTGCCTGTTAAAGTTTAGGCCCGGTCGATATGATCAATTACACACTGTATGATTCGACCTTCTTGGTTACCACCTCAGAGTTTGTCTCTCCTGAAACTGACTGAGGCTCATAAAGAGGCGCAGCAGCTTTTTATGATCATTAGAGGTCATTTAGTTAATAAATGATTACACCTGCACAGCTGGGAACTGTGAAACACAGACACGCAATTTTACTTCCAGTTCCTCTTTTTTTCAACACTTTGGTTTTTGTGCATTTGAAACAACTGAGATATAAAGTGTTTATCAGTGAGCTTGTGGCTGTTCCAAATACTCACTAGATTAATGGATTAATCCACCATCAACAAATAAACTACACTGACCTGTTTGTTTATTTGATTAAAACAACAACAACACTGAGCTCCTGTTTTAGGAAACATCATAATTTCAACACCACAAAAATGTCAGCAGTTAAAGACTAAAGGTGAATTGATAAAAACATCTCTCCCTCTGCAGAATACGTGCAGGCGTGTCGCGCTCTGATGATCATCTCTCTGCTGCTCGGCCTCGCCTCCATGATCGTGTCTCTGCTCGGACTCAAGTGCATCAGGATCGGCTCGGCCACCGACCAGTCCAAGGCCAAGATCGCCATCACCGGAGGGGCCCTGAGCATCTTCGCTGGTGAGCAAAGCTGACAGCAAAATACCAAGACGACAGGCGACACACCATAACCACAAGTGTTAAACTACTTTTAGTGGAGTAAGTGAAGTAGATGGTCAATGAGTGAACAGCTTCAGACGCCTCCTCTTTGTCCAGAACACTCGAGCAGTCTGTGTGTCCGTCACCCAGCTCAGGGTTCTCCAAGGAAACGTCAGTCGAGGGCAACTGGACTTGGTTGTAGATACTTGAAGACATCTTTCTCTCTGTTGTGACATTGATGGCCTCCCTCACTTCTCTAAAATACGCCCGTGGTTGTCGTCCTTCAGGGGGAGGTAAACTCCTGAGCTGAGCCGTTTGTTTGTTTAAAGGCTGTTTGTGTCGCAGAAATAAAGTTCTGTATATTCCTCACTGCACGGGACTTTTAGATGGACCAGTGTTTTGTCTCAGTGTGTTTTGTCTTACCGTATGTTTACCTCTTGAAAGCAGTCAGTCACGCCTCAGCCCCCCCACTAATGGAGATCGGCGCTCTAAGAGAAGGGCAGGATACAAATAGTTTGATGGTCAACTTCTGAACAACTGAACTCAAATGAAACACGATTATAATTAGCAGTCTAATAATCAGGTGCAAACAGCTGATGTTTGGACATGTACTGGTTTACCAGTGTTGTAAGTAACTGAGTTAATGCTGTTTTCTTATTTTTCATATTTCTTCCTCAAACCTGACGTAACCAGCGTTGACTGAAATATGTAACAGAAAATGCAGACAGGATTTTATCAGCCAATTATGTGAAAAAAAAGTCATGAAAATAAAGATTTTAAACTCTTTAAAACTTTTTTTTGTTTGTTAACATTTGTTTTTTTGTGTTCACAGGTCTGTGCTGCATGACAGCTTGTTCCTGGTACGCCTACAGAGTCGTTCAGGACTTCAACAACCCGTTCTACGGCGGTGTGAAGTGAGTTGACCTTCAGAGATCTCCCCTGAAAAGTTCAGTTTGTTCCTCCCACACAGTGGCTGACAGACTTCAAGGAAAGAAGGAAGGGAAGTGATGTAATGAGTCTAAAGGTCCCGTATTTTAAATGCTGCTGGTGTTTTATTTGAAGTGTTGATCCATAAGAAGATATATTTGTGGTTTTAAGAACTAAAAACAATGTCAGTGTAGTTTTACATCTCCTTTCTCAGGCTTCTCTCTGGAGCTCTAGTAACAACAGGTCGGTGAGCCAATCAGAAGAGAGGAGGCTCTGAGCCTCTCTTCTGATTGGCTGACTGTTTTCTGAGTGATCCAATAAAAATATAGCAGATTTCAGGTAAAAACACTCAGAGAAACCAAATCCTGCAAGGTTTGGATGGTGGGTCCAGGTGGGCGGGGCTTGGTGACTGCTTTGTTGTGACATCACAAAGTTCCAGAAGTCCTGACGGCTGGTTTTAAGGCTCAGTTTCTGAATACAGGCTGTGTGCATTTCTCTGTGGACTGAGGCTTTGATACTTTCACAGTATTAATATAGAAGCTAGAGCTGATCTATAATCACACTACACATGGACACAGACCTTTACACTGGAGGAGCTTTAATAATAACAAACAACAACTCGTTGTTTTGTTTCCTTTCTCCCACATTATTTAACATTTCACAAATCTGAGTTTTTGCTGCTCGAAAGTGACATGACGAGGATTTCAATCTGTACTGAAAGGTATTTGGTACCATCCTTCGATAGGCCACATTTTACAAAGGGTTTATAAGCTGCAATTAATGAATGGATTGATTCATGGTTAACAAAACATTTACTGAAACTTTATAGATATTTAGTTATATAGTTATGGGCCATTAATAAGAGCAACTTTTGGGTCACCAGGTTGTGGAAAGTCCTGTCTTCTCACCTGCAGACTTATTATAGTAGAACAATATTAACTTATACACAGAGTTTGAGTCAGTGTTGATGTCTGCATGGAAAGCTTGAGACAGAACAAATGTAGATAATGCAGATAATAACAATATTAATAATAATAAGTCATCAGGTCTGCAGCTATCAATGTTAGTTTGACATTAATAAAGACTCTCTGGGTTCTTGATTTCTAATGAGCCTTTAGTTTGTTAGAAACAGTCGCCTGCAATTATAAACGTTGATAAGTCATTAATAAAAGGTTCTACATCAATGAAGTCCGCAGTTGTAAATGTTAATAATCGGTGTATAAATATAAAAAGACAGAACTGTAAAGGTTTTAATGTAAAAGCTTATTGTGGTTGTTGAGTGACTGTCGTGTGTCTGCAGGTTCGAGCTGGGTACCGGCCTCTTCATGGGATGGGGTGCAGCCTCTCTGGCCATCCTGGGTGGAGGTTTACTCTGCACTGCATGTAAAAGAGCGTCACCTGGTGGCAAGAAAGGGTAAGTGCATACACACCTTTCACACCTCCTCTGTCTTCTTTCTTTCTTTATATTTTTTTGACAGTAACTTAAGTTATTATTTATTTCAGTTTTACTTCTTCTTTAGGTTTGTCGTGTTTTCAGAGGGAATGTCATGTGTTTTATTATCATTTTATTCATTATTTATTATTATTATTATTATTATGTAATATTATTAACAGTTGATAATTAACAGTATATATATACATATACAAATTGTACTATGAGTATTTGATATATGTTATAAACTTATATGTTCATATATCCAGAGGAAGTTAAATATGTAATAATTATCTATCTCCTTATAGGAGACGTATATGACAACACCATTCTTGATATAGGGACATATTTTACATTTCTGTATTGGATTGACTTTAAGCTGTTTTATGATGATGATAATGATGATGATGATGATGATGATGATGATGATGATGATGATGATGATGATGATGGTGTGACGCGTCCACATGACTCCTGTTTGGAGCTAATGTCCACACACATTCACTTTAAACAAGTCTGACGTTGTCACGCTTGTTTTTCAGAGGTTACCATGGAAACCAACCGCAGAAGGTCTACACTGCTACAGCAAAGTCGGATCCAGACTCCAGAGCTTACGTCTGAACACACACACACACACACACACACACACACACACACACACACACCCTACTACCTGCTCTCTTATAGACTACCATTCATTTTCTGAAGGCACTAAAAAGAAAGTTTCTTTGAGGGGACGGTTGGGGGACGGACCTGTACACAAGATGTCTGGCAGGATTTTAACTTCCTCTTAGGAACTATGAGAATTTTCTTACTTGTTTTGAAGAGTTTTTAAGGTTTTGAATCTGAATCATGGGAACAGATAAATCTCTGCAGATGATTATTAATGATTGTGTGAAGTGGGTGTTTTGTGTTTGTGTATATGTTACACATATGTCTTACACACTGTGTTCTAATGTTTAATACAAAAATCTTCTACATATGTACGTGTATTACTAAATAAAATGACTAAATTAATACAACACAATGTCTGGCGTGTATGAATCATATGTGGAGCCAATATCGTTCACGTCTGTGGAAATTTAAAGTTTCCACATGTTCATCTCTACGTGAAACTAAGACGGTGAAAGATGCATTTTTTATTCTGTGATTCTTATTTCGATTGGTTGAATCTCAGCTCTTCAAACTTAATGAGAAAATATTCGTTTGAATCCTCCGGTTCAACATTTATAAAAGGTCAGTATACAACTAATAACTGGTTTGTAACATGTGATGTGCGGCAGTTGTGAGAACATATAGGGAGACATTTATCATCCTCAGGACCCTGGGCCAGTGCAGAGTGGCTTGTTCAGTAATCGCATATAAAATAACACAGCTGTAATAATTGTTAATATATTAATAAAGACTTAAAATGTCCTCACATCTTACAACTTCATATTACTGTGTTGTATGGCTGTGACCCCAGGCACGTGCATACTGTGTGTGTGTGTGTGTGTGTGTGTGTGTGTGTGTTGTAATCTCCTGTGTAATAATGATGATTAATGCAGTAATCCACCTCTGTCTGTTTACCCGCTGACAGGCAGAACAGTGGATTAAAGCTCAACAGCTTCACTCTGCCTATCTATAGACCTCTATACACACACACACACACACACACACACACACACACACACACACACACACACACTGTGGACCGGATCGAACCTGCTGCTCAACCTTGAGGTTGCGTCTGGACAAACTCGATGTCAAAAGTCTGAACACAGCTTCCTATATGACATATGTACATATGTCCTTATATCAAGAGTGACCTATAAGGAGATGTATTATTATCACATACATCTGGATATGAAGATATAAGTTTAGAACATATATGAAATACCCATAGCAAAATTTGTATATTTACAAATTGAACACATTGAAAACACAAATGTGTTCTATGTAAAAATTATTTGTTAACATTATATATTTATTTATGCAAGTTTATTAAAACAACATACATGTTAAAAATCTATATGTTTATATATGTTTGTGCATACATAAATAAATAAAATATATTATGTTAACACATAATTTCTACATAGAAAACATGTGTTCTATGTAAAAACTCATCACAATACAGATATTTTTAATATATATACATATATAAATTTCACAATAGGCATTTCATATATGTTCTAAACTTATATCTTCATATATCCAGAGGATGTATATATGTGATAATAATATATCCACTTATAGGTGACATATGTGTCAATACACACTCTTGATATAGGGACATATGTCATATATTACATTTCTGCATGGGCTATAACTAGTATTATATAACATAATAAATGACAGATCTGTAAAATAATGTTTCCTGTTGAATTTCCCAGCATGCAGTTCTAAACTGTGTTTCAAAACCTCTCTCCTTGCTGCCTGCAGGGATCATTTATTTTGATGGGCTCAAAGTTGATTAACACATTATAACTTCAGTATGAAAAATGAATTGTAAAAATGATAATTCATAATTCAACAGAGCTGCTGGTTCTATCTTCATGTTTACACAGACATGAGTCTTCATCTAACGCTCCGCCAGAAATCAAATAAAGGTATTTTCAACAATATGTGGAGCTGTTTCTTCAACACAGTCGACTGTTTGTTTGTCTTTTGACAGAAACTGGAAAAAGTGGACCAGCATGAGATGCTCTCTCTCCCCCTCTTACTGTGTCTCTCTATGTCTCTCTCTCTCTCTCTCTAATCTGGTGTGATGTGCTGACTGAGGGGGAACCAGCTTCAATCCTCTCAGTCGGCTCATTCACAGGAAGTGTGTGTCTGTCTCTCTGGATGTTGTGGGTTTGTGGGGGGGGGTGGAGGGTTAGGCTCCTGTGCGTTGAGGGTTGGTCAAAGTTCACAGCCGGGTCACCTGATTGGCTGATGCGGGTGAAGGAGGCTGTGACGGACAGCAGGTGTTGACATATAGAGCTTCTCTGACCGGCGTCTGTCTCCTCCTCTCATTCAACAACAACAACACGACCTTCATTTCTGCAACACAGGTGAGTCATTCTCATTCTAACATTGCAGAGAAGAAAACATTTCCGCTGTGATATAAATTGCATTTTTTAAATCCTTTTGTCTGTTTTTAAGTCTTAAAAATATCAAATGAGCATCACTATCTTCAAACACTGAACTAGAACCCAGAAAATGTTTGTGTATCTGTGGGAAATCCTCGAAAGAAGTTGATTTGTGTGTTGTGTTGATTTAATCTCATCCACACTGGCAGAATGTTCCACCTTATTTTTAGGAAAATATTATTTCTGGGACTCAATTATAAATAGGACTCAAAAACAAAGAAATTTGTCAATCAATGAGTATTTAAGCATAGATCCTTCATATGGTGCGATAAATGTGTCATCATGGCCAAATAATAGATAGAGATTTTTTCTTTTCACCAATAGGAAGCAAGAAGGAAAAATAAAAGGTAAATATAAATCCAGGTGAGGGCACAGATGTCAGTATGACATAAATATAGTTTTTCTTTTTCTTTTATATTTTAACATTTTATATTTGTGTTTATAGCTGGACTGGCATCAGTATTGCTGGTTTTACTGAAAATATAATCTCATGTATCTTTTACACATTTTCTGTAAAACTTTTCTTGCTTATTTGAATCCTTTTCATAATTTTTCAGTCAACTCCAAAACAATGAAAAGAAGTAAAAAAATTAGTTTCCATTGTTTTCAGTGAGGAAAGGTGAAACACATCTGAGAAGATTTTAACAGGATTAAGAAGCTGAGCAGAGCTAAGTCTGTTTAAATCGCTCAGTCATCTCAATTCGATTAACTCTACAAGGGGAACTCATTCATCTATGTACAGTGACCAAAAATATAAATGAAATTAAACATTGAGTTTGTGAAAATATTCAGTTTTTCTTGAAATATAGTTGATTTTATTTTCACTTTATTCTTTGATATATGTCTGGAATTTAAAGAAAGATGTACAATTCTGGGAAAACGTTATAGTCTAAACATTAATCTTATCCATATTCTATTTCTTTTTTTAAATCATAATAGATGTGGCATGTGGCTTATATCTAATTCCGTCTTGCAGTTCATCTTTGAGCCACTAAAAGGCGCCAAAGCAGCGTGACCAGAGTTACACAGGTGTTGAGTTTTTTCGCTGAGATTTCTGCCTCCGCCACAGCACAGGAGAAGAGAGGGCTACTTCGCTTGTGGTAATAACAGGAATTAAGAAATAGGTTTTAAAAATTAAAAGGTAACAACCTATTTATATTTCAGTGTCAGGTTAATCTTGATAATCTTCAGAAAACGCAACTGACAATTTCCATAGGGACTATTTCTTTAGAAGAAAGTAGTTCCAGCGGAAAACGTTGACAGTTGCAGGTGTTTGGAATCTCCGATGACGCTGTGTTTGGGAAGAGATGTCGGTGTTACGGGTCAGTTGTGATTATTTCGGAGAGCCAGACTCACAGGTATCGATCTGAAAAGATAAAGTATTGATCTGATAAGATTAATATAAGATTAAATTGGCAGATTCGACTGCTATTATCAAGCTAGTAGCCTCAATTGTGAAGCAGTAATCCTGAAATTAAGGAGGGGTCCTCCATGAGAAGTAATTGATAGCCTACTTCCAATCCTTGAAAGAAGGATTATTTTCTCGATTAATTGATTATGCATCATTTAAAATGCCAGAAAACTGTGTGAAGTGTTTCGCAGTTTTGCTTTTAAAATTACATCAACAATTAATCGACTATCAACAGTATTTGCTGCTTTTTTCTGTCAATGAATCCAACCAAACAAGGCCACTTAGCTAGCTTATTTTGGAGTTAAATATATCAGACACGGCTTAAAGTTACCGAAACTGGCAAGTTGAGCAAGTTTAACGTTAATAAACAACAGTCAGGTTTCATTTGGTCGTCTGGTCAGCTTATGGAATTAACGTTTTTAATGTTACAGTTAAACAAAATGGCGCCATTTGTTGTTTAAAAGTTCAGCGGTTACAAATGAGAAGCTTGATAACGTCACTCTCTTGGTCTTAATGCATCCATGATATAGGCAAAAAAAGTAGTTCCATGTTGAACTGCTGTGTAAACAAACCTGACCCTGACAAAAAAAAATATAACAGTTAGTGATGAAATACTAGTTTAGCTAACGTGGTTATCTCAGTTTGTTGCTCTAAAAAAAATAAATAGAGATGTTTGGGATGTTCTGAAGGTGTTTCCATTTCCCTCCAAACATCTGGATGAAAAAATATTCTGCTTACTGAATGATCAAGATGTGAACCCTCCTTTTTCAAGTTGTTGTGTGACCTATTCATGTTGCTGGAAATAACATGCCCTTGCTCTTTTTGAGAAACACAAGCAAAATGTTGAAAATGTATAACATCGGAAAATCACTAACTAGTTCTGGTGACCATATTTGTTTGGATTAGGAAAGAGAGGTGTAATTTGGGCAATGGATTAAAATAATCTTTGTATTGCTCATTAGATGGAATATTTTACACACAGATGGTTTTAAGAGTCTCTCCAGGAATACCTTTGGAACAAAACTATGTGGACTTGGTTTATCTAAGGCTGAGGGTACTTTAAGGTCCTCAGGTTGGACAGAGCTGTTCTGACAAATATGAGATGTTACCAAACTACATGTACTATTATCAAATGAAGGTGTACATTGTCACAGTCCACCAGGTGCATAGCTACCTGGAGAGTGATGGGAGGACACACAGGGGTTGAGTAAAGTAAAAATAAGCAAAAACTCTCGTATGGGTGACACATGGACGTGTAGAGGCTTTAGGGAAATATAAGGAGCCCTAAGATGGTCACAAAAGGGCTAAATCAAGCTTCTCAAATCAACATGGACGGCACCATGTGTCAGTGATTCGGTTGTGGGATATAGTGATTGCTTGGATCAGTGCCTCCAACTGGTAGTCACACCTTTGTACCCAGGTTGAAGGCTTTGACTGCCGACAGTCTGTGCCGTCTCTTGTTAAATATGTAATTTTAGTTAAGCTGTATGACAGGTTAGGGACGCCTACTGACTCTACTTTATGCTGGTATATTTTACTGACATTTCTCTACAGTTTTCATGGTGTAAAATTGAAATGTGTAACTGACTACCCCTGGGCTGAACGAGTTAATCATATCACAATAATCTGTAACAAACATTCATTGACCAGTCTCAGAGAAACACATGGTCAGAGCTGCGACTCTCAGGTGATGGAAGATGTTTACGTGTCGGGTTCTTTCTCTCAGGCGCTGCTGACTCGCTGCCCTCCATCTGCACCAACATGAGTCCAAAGAATGTCGTTTTCAAAAAGATCTGCAAAGACAAGTCGGTGAGTGAAACATCTCAGATGAAATAATATCACCACCTACACCCTCAGTCACTGTTAGAGAAAGTTAGGAGGGCCACAGCACAAATTTTATTAAACGCAGCTGACATTTAAGAGACGGAATAAGTTCAGTTCTTTAAAGGAACAGACTTGACTGTGCATTCTGTCGAAGTCCTCCTATTAAACCACAGTCAGACATGAAGATGGTCACCAGGTGAACCTCTGTGCCGCCTGTACTGCCTCCACCACTGGAAGCAAGATGTCTGATTAATATCTTGACTCTCGTTAGCCAACGAGCTAGTCAGCAGCTGTAGTCAGCAGGGTTTAGTTAACAGTAGAGACAGGACAGAGCACAAACCTGACAGCCCCACTATGGAGATGCTGTGTGCACTCAGTAAACTGCTGTTGAACCTACAATGTCTCATTTTGTTGATCAAGATACAGCATCATGTGTAGTGTTTTTTTTGTTTTTTTAACCAAGATTAGATTTATTTACTCATATTTCAGCTTTTTGAAATAAATCTTGTAATTGTCACTGAGTAAAATATCACGTATAATAAGCTGCATGTACCAGGCATCTAACCCCTGATGACCTGCCTGTTATTACCCTCCAGTTCCTCCCTCAAACCCTGTGTTTCTAAAAGGTCGTTTCTCACACTTGTTGAGCAGTAAAGGGGATAGCGACATCTGATCAAGTGGATTAGTGTAAATGTTTTGTCTTTGAGGTAAAAATTTTCCGTCTCGCTGCATTTTAATTCTGTAAAGCAGTTCAGCTGCTTGTCTGACTGATCCTCAGGAGGTCAACACAAAGGCACGACAACGTGAGCGGAGCTGAGCCACGTGTGTGATCGACAGCTCCGTGTCAGATTACAGCTGACAGCATCGCTCTGCCGAACTGCTTCATGTCTAATCTCAGATATTTGAGCTGCGGTCTTTGTATCTCTGTCGCTAAGACAAACTGCTTCACCTGCCTGTTTCTGCATGAGTTTGTCATATGAAAATACAAATCAACATTCATTTTCAAGCATGAAATTAGATTTGATGAAGTGTGTAAATACCCTGCATGTCATCAGTGTGTCTTTTCCTGCTGCTCCAGGTTGGAGTCTACATGGGGAAAAGAGACTTTGTCGACCGTGTCGACTCTGTGGATCCAGTGGGTGAGTTGGTCCACAACAGCAATCATCCACCACCAGGAGAGTAGACCAGCAGTGACATGTTATATGTAATGTCAGGTCAGTGTCGACCACCTCTTTCACTGTCACTGTGACAGAAGTCTGTCATGGAGGAGCTGGAAACAACTCAGTTTCCTCAGTGCTGATCAGATGATTGCAGATACCAAACCTGCAGCCAAACGTCTCCTGGGGGAGTCGGACAGAAATGTGTTATTGGTTAAGAAGGAAAAAAAAGAAAAACTAAATTAAGTCTCATGCATTCTGCAGAATATATGCAGAGCTACAGCACTGCTCATATTTTTAAACATAAGGCTTTTGGTCAGTCATACTCTAGATGATGTCTACTTAATCTTGTTCTATATTTACCCAGTTCCCTTGAGTCCAATTATTTAATAATGAAAGAAAGATTCAGCTCGCTGTACAAACACAAGAAACTGACATTTTCCTCAATGCACTCGGACTCCTAAACACATTTATAATGCAATGAAATGAAATTATATCACAACTTCAGAGATTTTTATTTGTGTCCTTTTAGTCCTTTTATTCTGCTGATTCAGCTGCAGGAAGAAGCACAAAGATGTTTATTCATTTAGTTGTTATTTATTTATGTCTTATTTTGATTTTTGTAGTTATTCAAAAATGAGTTTTCATTTTTATTTTTTACTTTGTCTTTCTTTTTTTCTACCACTAGATGGCGTCATCCTCATTGATCCTGAGGCTCTGCAGGGGAGGAAAGGTCAGTGCTCAAACACACTATCGATTCCCGTCTCTCAGCTGTTGCTGCAGGACGCTGGTCCAGGCTCAGGATACAGTCTGAATTTAAAATGAAGTTCTGTGTGTTTTCACAAAGTTATTCATCCTCATTTTAGAAAGTTATTCATCCTCGTCCCAGTTTTGTTTTATTTTGAAATATGACTGTTGCTTCCATCTTATTATGAAGGACACACCCTTTGTATGCAATTTGTGTGCAATATACAATTACTGAAAATACACTTATAAGATAGAAAGATGTAAAGTTGTATAAACTGCTTCAGATGATTCCAGTTAAAATCCAGATTGATGCTTCAGCTTTTAAAAGACCCCTGACGCTCACAGTGTGTCTCCTCCGCCCTCCAGTGTTCGTCACCCTGTCTTGCACCTTTCGCTACGGCAGAGATGACATGGACGTGATGGGAATCGCCTTCCGCAGGGAGCTGTACCTGTCAACCCGCCAGGTGTACCCGCCTCTGCAGGACCGCGAGAAAGGAATCCACACCAAGACACAGGCCCGGCTGCTGCGCAAGCTGGGAGACAACGCCCACCCGTTCTTCTTTGAGGTGAGAGTCTGTCTCTGGCGGTCAGGAGCAGCTGATCAGAGACTGACTGAAGCTGCTTTTCAGACAGCTGAGCTCTCAGCAGGAAGAAATGCTTCACTTGGGTAAGAGAGAAATACTCTCCAAACTCAGGTCACAGTTCTGCATTTAGAGTCTTAATAAAAACCACAGTGTCAGCAGTGGAAGAGTCAGTATGCAGACTAAAAGTAAAATTAGTTTTTTGCATTCCCTGATGATAAACAGTAACGTCCCATAATGCAATGCAGTAAGGAAATGCATCTGCTCAAAGCTGCAAAACATTGGAGTAAATTGGTGAGAAAACAAAATATTTTCTTTTCCTCGTGTCATATTTCATATTTCATCTTCAGTGACGTTCTGAAGTTACACTTCATCTGTGCTCATACAAAATACACATTTGTTCCTTGTTACTAACTGCAAGAACTATGGGTCCGAGTACAACTGACCCCCAAAGTCCAGTTCCTGTGGACCGTACCTGGGCACAGATCAACAAACCATTCCAGTACAGTTCATGTGCACTGAGGTTCAGGTCACATCAGGTGTGAAAACTACTGAACCAAAACAAGCAAGTGGAATACTTCAAGATCATTTACATGCTGTCATGGAAAGTAAGTAAAGACTGACTGACTGATGTGTTGCTTTCACAGTTTCCTGACAACCTGCCTTGCTCAGTGGCTCTCCAGCCAGCGCCCCATGACGTCGGCAAGGTAAGACCTTGACTGCAGATTCAAACTAGCAGCCGCTCTTGATGAAGTGACCACACCGCAGGATGGCGACACCTCTTCTCTCTTCTCTTTGTCCTTAGCAATGTGCCGTGGAGTTTGAGATCAAAGCGTTCAGCGCTGAGAGCCAGGACGCTAAAGTACGGAAACGGTGAGTCTGAGCTTCTCAGTCCTGACGGCAAGAGTGTAGAAGAAACTGAGCTGCAGGTTTGTATCAGCTGTTCCAGACTTTCTGTGCTTTGTCCAACAGGAGCTCAGTGAAGCTGATGCTCAGGAAGGTCCAGTACGCCCCAGAGGGCGAGGGAGTGGCGCCCTCCATTGAAACCACCAGGGACTTTGTCATGTCAGACAAACCACTGCATGTCAAGGCCAGTCTGGACAAAGAGGTGGGTTGCTTCATATTAATCGAAGTTTAACCTTTTTCGAAACCAGCTACTGGATCACACTCTTCACGGCTGCTGCACATCGTGCCTGTGCACAGAAACGTGCACTATGAGACAAAGTGAGACGTTGTGGTCTGATAGAAAACAGCTGAGATGACGTGATTCAGATCATCAGTTCTATGTGAGTTCTACTCTTGTATAACTCTGTATAACATCTGGGTTTTTGTCTCCATTTAAAAGCACTTGACTTTGATCAGCTCATTATCTTGATGGTTGAAGCTTGTAAACAGGGAACGTACCTGCGCTCATTGTGACCAGCAGTAAAAGATAATATGTTAATAGATGTTTCTCTGACCTTGTTTTTAGCTTTACTACCATGGCGAGCCCATCAAGGTGCACGTCAACGTCACCAACAGCTCCAGCAAAAACATCAAGAACATCATCGTCTCTGGTAAACATGACGCTGTGACGTTTTGCATGAAGCCGGTGCAGGATGAGAACTGGTGTTAAATGTGGTCTACGTGTCTCCTCTTGTCTCCCTCAGTGGATCAGGTCTCCACAGTGGTCTTGTACTCCAATGACATCTACGTCAAATCTGTGGCCATCGAGGAGTATGGGTAATGGTCAGCACACACAACATTTCACAACATTACAAACAGATGTTTGGTTATGACATGGCAGTGAGTTTTTGTCTGTTCGTCCATGTGTTCAGTCGCATGATGAAGGAATTCAAAAAAAATCCCTCATAGCGAACATGTTTCTGTCCCAGACGGTTTTTCTTCAGAACGTCACATGACACATTGTCTGTGTAAAGTGTTATTGCTTTATAGTATGAAGTTAAAACTGACCTCTGGACCTGAAAAAGCTCTAACTCACTTCAGACAAACCAGGAAACTAAAGTTATTATTTTTCCTCGGTGAGAAGAGACGCACTTACAAAAAGACAGACGAAGAATTCAGCAGGGAGTACAGTGATCTCCGGCCTGCTGAGGGCTCCACACGCTGAAGTCAACCTGCTGTGTTTTCAGCTTCAATGGCTTCCAGATTAGAGCAGGATCTCTGCTGTCCTGTCTGCCATGGAATCTTCAATGATCCTGTCATCCTGTCGTGTCGCCACAGCTTCTGTAAAGACTGTCTGCAGAGCTGGTGGACGGACAGAGTGGCTCACGATTGTCCAATTTGCAGGAAGAGATCTTCAATGGAATTCCCTCTGTGTAATATTGTGTTGAAGAACCTGTGTGAGGCCTTCTTACAGGAGAGAGAGCAGAGATCTTCAGAGGCTCTCTGCAGTCTGCACTCTGAGAAACTCAGACTCTTCTGTCTGGACCATCAGCAGCCAGTGTGTCTCGTCTGTAGAGATTCAGAAACACACACCGACCACAGATTCAGACCCATCGATGAAGCTGCTCCACCACACAGGAAGAAGCTTGAGGAAACTCTGGAGCCCTTAAAGGAGAAGTTAAAGGGTCTTAATGAAGTTAAAGTGGAGTTTGATCAAACAGCAGAACACATTAAGGTCCAGGCCCGACACACAGAGACGCAGATTAAGGAGCAGTTTAAGAAGCTTCACCAGTTTCTAGAAGAGGAAGAGGAGGCCAGGATGGCTGCACTGAGGGAGGAAGAGGAGCAGAAGAGTCAGGTGATGAAGGAGAAGATGGAGGCTCTGAGCAGAGAGATAGCAGCTCTTTCAGACACAGTCAGAGCCACAGAGGACGAGCTGAGAGCTGAAGACGTCTCATTCCTGCTCAGCTACAAGGCTGCAGTGGACAGAGTCCAGCAGCGCCCCCTGCTGGAGGATCACCAGCTGGGCTCAGGAGCTCTGATAGACCAGGCCAAACACCTGGGCAACCTGACCTTCAACATCTGGAACAAGATGAAGGACGTGGTCTCCTACAGTCCTGTGGTTCTGGACCCAAACTCTGCTCATCCAGAACTCATCCTGTCTGAAGATCTGACCAGAGTGAGACGAGGAGAGAGACAGAAGCTTCCTGACAATCCAGAGAGGAGGAGGTGCTGTCGCTGCTCTGTCCTGGGCTCTGAAGGCTTCGACGCTGGGACTCACAGCTGGGACGTCGAGGTTGGAGACAGCACAGACTGGGAACTGGGTGTGTTCTCAGAGTCTGTCAGGAGGAAGGGACACTTGTGGACCGGGTTGTGGACAGTAGGTTTCTCTGATGGTAAATACAAAGCTCACTCCACTTTACATCCATCCAGTGTTTTCCTACTGAAGAAGAAGCCCCAGAGGATCAGAGTGAGTCTGGACTGGGAGGCCGGAAAATTGTCTTTTTGTGATCCCGACACTGACGCACATGTACACACCTTCGCCGACACTTTCAGTGACAGAGTGTTTCCGTACATTTGGAATGTGAAAAATGTCACCTTGAAGATTTTACCTGTCTCCGTCTCTGTGGCTGTAGATCAGCAGAGTTAAGAGCCAGAGTCGATCCGTTTTATATCATTATCTTAAAGTAATCATGCTGACAAAATGTCATATTGATAATTGTCCCTGCTGGTTTTCCAGGACACTTTGGTGAAACGGTTATTAAACTGTTTTCTATGTGGTATTAAAAATGAACTTGGTGAATCCTCCTGAAACCCTGATCACAGCTTGGGTCTAAGTTCATTAGTAATTATTATTTGTATATAGTAGTTGGATTCATCAGGTTAGTGGCTGAGGGAAGTCTGATAGGTCGACCAAGCTGACACACAAACGCACACACACCTTAACACACACTTTCACTGGCAGACTATTTCCATACATGTGGATGGGGAGTGGAGATTCTACCAGTGACGGTGAATGTGACGGTGCAACAACACTGATGATGATGGTGATGCCACGTTCAGAAACTCTTTGGGGTCATTTTGCCCACATTGAGGATTTTAACACGTCTACGTGTCACTGTGCTATAATAGATTCTGTCTGATCTAATTCTAAAATGTGTTTTGGGTTTTGTGTTTAATGGATGAATCCCTCGTTACTTCGTAGTTCTGCTTATGTCGCAGCAGCCGTGTTAACTTGTCATGGTAGGAAAGTCACATGGAGCCAACCTGCACAAAACCAGGACCCTCGATCTAGATCATCATTTTTACACATGTGATTTTCCTGCTGTGGCGTGTTGAGATGTCTTCCCTTAAAAAGGCTTTTCAGAAACTCCAATGATTTTGTTTGAAGGTATCGTAAATTACACTGACACAGATTCCAAGTTGAGATTTAATGTAGTTTTTTTTATCAGAGCATGTGATGAATGTGTGACCATGTGATCTACATCTGTAACAACAAAGAAACAACCTGTGAAAACAGCAAAACATGCACCTGCTTCTAGTTTAAAAATGTAAATTAATTTCCTTTTAAATGAATTTCTCTGTTGCTCCGGTGTTAATGTTAACTTTTATCTTTTTGTGCTCCACTTTCATGCTACAACCCTTTTTTTTATATATAGTTGTCATTTATTCATAAAGTTGGTTTATAAAGCAACATGTCATCCATTTAAAACTGTTTATTGCTCTAAATAAAGATTGAGCAGAGAACTACAGAAGTCTCCTTGGTTCATATTTATTTTGTTTATTTATTCCTTTTCAAAGTTACATGGAAGGAAGATTGATCAGGATAAGATTTGTATTTGTGCTTGTCGTCGTGTTTCTACTAAACTCCCTGGTTTCCCTTCCTCCCAGCTCAGGAGGACAAAGGTTTAGAGGCTCACTGTGTAATCGCTGTTGATTGCATCTTGTTTTGTTTCCTGCTGAAGTTTTTATGTGCGACTGTGTCGTCCTCATGTCTCAGGGATTCAGTGTCTGCGGGAGGGACGCTGGAGAAAGTCTACACGCTGCTGCCTCTGCTGGCCAACAACAGGGAGAGGAGGGGCATCGCTCTGGACGGCAAACTGAAGCACGAAGACACCAACCTGGCGTCATCGAGCATGTGAGCAAACGATCACAGCCTGCATCTTTAAATTCTGTTGCAGAGATTCAGACTCTGCGTCTCTCCTGATTCGACCTGATCATTTAAATCATCTCTTTCTTCTCTTGCAGCATCAAGGAGGGTGTGCTGAAGGAGGTCATGGGCATGATGGTTTCATACAGAGTCATGGTGAAGCTCATCGTTGGAGGGTCAGTGTGTGTGTGTGTGTGTGTGTGTTTAAAACAAGTCAAGTTTGAACAAATTTAAACTCATAAGTAATTTGAGTACAGTCTCAGTATTTCCCCTCGTGGCGTCACACAGCTGAAGTGTGCGTCTTGAGGTTGCGGTGAGAAGGTTCGGCCATTATCCTGAAAACTCCCTGAAGCTGTTCCAATGAGCTGCTGCATTGTTCCACACAAAAACACAACTGAATCAACTAAAGGAGCCAGTGATTGTTTTAATATTTAGTTTTTTGAAGTTTGGTTGTGGTAAACTCAGCAAACATTTCAGAATTTCTAAAGCTTCAAGCACAGACTTCAGATCAGACCATGGTCTCTGGTGAACAATCTTCTGCCTCATCTTTATCTAACGTCGCCATCGTTAGGACACTGACAGGTTCATGACTGACAGTGGAGGAGTTGGCTGAAACAGCGTGTGGTCGATCACATTTTCAAAATAAAAGAAAATAAATTCCACTGACTAAAACCTGCTTCAAAGTAAGAGTCAAAAGTACAATATTTGTCTTTTAAGTGTAGTGGAGTAAAAGATAAAAGTCCTATGAGCTTCAGGTGAAACTCCTGAGGATGACCGCTCACATTCACCCAGCTCACACAGTGCGAAGGCGTCTTTAGACAAAAGTAATAGTCGTACAGCCGTCTCAGATCATTCAGCAAAATATCTTTCCAATACGATTCTTCCTACGATGCCTCCTGAGCATCGCGTTCTCCCTCTGTTATTTTGTTTGTCTCTAACTTTGACTTTCATCTTTGTCTGTGCGGCGCTCACAGGATGATGGGATCAAGGTGGGTTCACGTCTACTTGTTTCATTAATAGTAGCTGCTCTGTTCAGTTCGAGTAGGTTACGTTCTATTGCTTTTGTGCTAAATGAAAGTTAAGAAACTACAACTCAGGATGTAGTTTAGCAGAGAAAAGGCCTGTAAGTGCACGTTCATTAGTGCTGCTCAGTACTATTACTTGATATAGTCTTGAGTTAATTAAAGTTAATTTATATTTAATTTTTCAGTGTTTTATTCATTATATTGCGTAAGATGAAACTAAAAAATATTGTTATTTAAATTTTAATTTTTTGGGAATAGTGTATATTTATCAACATGAAGTCTTTGTTCACATGATTGTGTTCATGTTGAATGATGCATTAATCTATTAAACACAGTTACAGCTAGAAACATTATTTTTTGTTTTGCAGTGAGGTCGGCCTGGAAGTTCCCTTTAAACTGATGCATCCTAAACCTGACGCAGGTGAGGACACGGACATTTCTCTGTGTTTGTTAGCGTGTTCCGAGGCAGCTGTACACATCTGTATCGAGTTAGAATAGAAAAGTCCACATTTTAACAGACAGGTGAGAGAAAGTCGACCACTGAATGTAAACCCTCCTGTCCTTTGTGTCTTTACTGCTGCCAACAGTGAAGGAGAGGTAAGATGGTTTTTCCACTTACAGAAATGAATATGTAAAAGAATCTGAAGTTTCTTTAGTTCTTTAGAACGAGGACAGATCACAGTCCCTCGTGCCGGAGGACAAACATTCTTGTCTTTATTGTGACACGTTGTTTAACCGTCCTCTGTCTGTCGTCGTTTTTTGTTCAGTTCATTCGGGGACGGGATCAAGTTCCCGGATCTTTTATCACTTCATCAGCTCCTTTTCTAGGCCATTTTCCTCCGTTAGCTCCAGTTTATATCCCCGTGTCTTCTTCTGCAGTGTCAGCTTTCCTCTGTTTGTGTTTTGATTTCCTGTTTCTTCAAGCCCCTTTTTACTTTTTTTAAAAAAAAACGTTTTATCAGATCAAGTTCAGGCAGTTAACAGGGAACGATTTAAGCTGACTCTGGTTCCAACTTATTTATTTATCTGATTCTGTATTCCCATTCCCAGTTTCTTCAAGCGACACCCTGGATAAATCAGATAAATCATATTCTGTCCATCAGTTTGACGGACCAGTCGGTCTCTGAGGCACAATCAGGAAAAATCATTTAAAACACCTCTACATGTGTCTTCTTTGTGACTTGAGTCTGAACATCAAACAACAAATCATTTCTAAAAACATTACCTCACCACTTCACAGTATTTTACCATTTGTTTGCAGTTTTGGTCAAAGGTCAAAGGTCACTGCTCAAGTTCACCTCACATATTGGTAGAAGTAGTTGTCATGTGTGGACTTCAGTAAACTTAAAGTCTGTTCCCACTGCCGTTGTCTGTAGTGAGTTGGAGGAGGAGATGGTGTTTCAGGAGTTCAAGCGCTCCTACCTGAAGGGGATAGTCGGCGATGACGAGGACGAAGAGGGAAACGTGTCGGGTGGTGACGACATGGCGCCCAAAGAGAAGTAGAGGAAAGAGTCGTCCAGGGTTACGACGGCTGAAACAAAGACAGCTGGGAGTTTGAGTCGCCTCAGAGTTTGTGATAGAAAAAGATGAGATTTAGTTAAAGGACCATGTCTGTAGTTCTGCATGTTTCAGCACCTCACCTCGATGTGTTTCACACCACTGTCTCTCACTGACGCACTGACTGTGAAAAACTACAAGTCAACAGGCGAGAAACTCAGTGATGAAATGATCAGCTTCCTCGAAAACTCCACCATTGGCTTTTTCCGTTGTGACTGTGACGAAAAGTGCTTTTAGTAGATTTTGACATCACAGAGCTGAACACAAGACTTGACAAGCAACTCCCTACAGTTTTACATTGCATGGCTGTCTACTTGCAGTGTCTCTAATTCTGTCAGATTCTCTGCAAACAAACACATGACACAAATATTTAATTACAACGTGCCTTTTGAAGAGCGATCTGAAATGTTAAGGTTGTTCTTTTTAAGGTATGCTTGGAATAAGGGACAACGGTGTTCATGGCGCCTGTAAACAGATGTGAGGAGTATGTGAGACGGATTTCCTCTTTTAAAACACTGATGTCTGTGAATGTTCTCATTCGTCCAGGTCATCGTTATCTCTCTCTCAGATTAAATCCAAGGCAACTGGACTTGTATTTGTCACTGATGTGATGTCAGTGGGAGGCAGAGGTAAAAAAAAATATGAGAATTATAACTTTCTCTTACCTCACATTTTCCTGCAAACATGCGAAACCACAGATATGGTCCGAAGTATCCTTTTAACGTAATTTGAAAAGAAAATGTTCAGTGCTTTTGTACTTTTAGTAACGTACATAGTATCTGACTCATGTCCGGATCTGAAGTAACTTGAGACATCATCAGTCCATTCATCACCTGTTCTTTTCCTACGATCGGACAATGATGGACGGCAGGAGACGGCAAAGAAGCTGGAGTGTCATAATATTTGAGCTGGGATCATGAATTTTAAATGTTTAAAAAATGTGATGATTATTAAAAAACATTCAACTTTACTCTCAGAAAGGACAAAATCACAAGCTCCTTATAAATAATGAGAATTAGATCACATGAGCGTGGAAACCAGCCGACACAGATGCCAGACGTCGCCGTCGTCGTCAACGCACTGGCTGAGTTTCTTCTCTGCTCAGCTCTGGGGGAAACAGTCAGACTAATGTGACTCGTCAGTTGTTGCAATCAGCTGATGAGTTCAGATTTACCGTAGAAACATTTGTATAGAAGGCTGCGTTTTATTTGGCTTTTAAAGGAGATGTGAAGCTCTGTGCGACTGTGCAGTTTGAACACCTGTGACAATAAAAGCTGTTTGATCCATTCTTGCATTAGACGGTGTCTTGGTGTCATGTCGTTTCCGAGGCTGGAGGTCATGTGATGTACAGAGAGTTCGTGGGACATTTTTACGATGGATCTATCATGGGTTTTTTTTGGATATACGCAATTTTTTAGGTTTTAAAGGATATGACTGACTTCTCTCACAAACCCACGTTCAGATTCAAACCAGCGGTTCACAACACTTTCTCTCAAGCACGTTTGATCCTACTGAAAATGTAAATATGCTAAAAACACCAGTTTTTACCTTGTTACTCAAACAGGAGGAAATGATGTTGTTTGGGACTACGTTCAGCAGCGGATGAATCCATATTTGGTGCTGTAGTGAGTATTTTGGGCAGCAGGACAGTGTTTGGGACTGAGGGCAGAATAAACCACAGTGAGTGTTCATGGTGATGAAGGAACATGTCGCCCAGTGTAACAGTATGACTGACTGAAGGGAATAAGATGTATTAGAGTTTGAAACACACAGTACTTGTTAGTAAGTGACATTTGTTGTTGGTTTGGCTCTGCACGTGAGATTGGATGATGGGAGGAAATATAGAATTTTACCAAACATAAACTTCCATTACGTTCTTTATTTCTCTCAATTTAAGGATTTTTGGGACCGTAATGTGAGTCAGGAGCCCAGAACACACGGATATGTTCACATATGGTATGAATTGTACAAAAAAATCAAAACCTCTGGATAAACTGTCAAACAGAAGCCTCAGGAGAAAGTTGATTTTCAATTTCAGACAAAAACCACGATGCACAGATCACAGCAAACTGAGGCACGAATATGTGACACACAACTGCTTGTTATCTGAAAACACTTCACTGAGGACTGACAGTGTTTTATCCCTGTTATGCCACCTTTCATCAGACTCTTCCATACCCATCTGTATCGTCCAATCACGTCAAGAATCACCTGAAGGCGTCCTGTAGCATTCAGGATCACAGCGTCCTTTTTAACATGTTTTTAATTTACCTCAAGGAGTTTTATGTCATTGATTGTTGTTCAAATTCATCCATTTTTATTGATTTTGTTGGTCAGATAGTCCGTCATATGATGCAGAAATGCACCTTAAACTTCATAACAGCAAATCAATCAAAAAACAAATCATGTGACTTAGGATTCTGCCTTCAAAACTAAATATTCTTCAGATTTAAGGCAATATAAATAAAATAAATCCACTTGTTCCCTGTGCAGTCTCTCTCAGTATCTGCACTGTTATGTAAAATTCATTAAATCAGTTTTTTAATTGGTGAAATTCTTTCCATTCACTGGCACATTTCTGTTTTTTCAAGAGAATTAGATACAGTCTTGCTGTTTGTGATACTTCCCATCGTCCTTTAAACAGCCCTACCTGTACGCGTCTTTGTTGCTCCATATATTGGTTCCTTCACAGCGTCCTCCATCACCTGCTCACCTGCTCCTTCTCCGTTAAAACCTCTTCAACTAATCAAACCTTTGTCTCAACAAACCAATTTTACTCTAATGCAGGGCGCTGATTCACATTTGAGAGCATACAAGCATCCGACCAACTGACGATGCCATTCATCACAAGTCTGGCATGAGAATGGCGACCAGGTGTTCCATTTCGGCCACCTTCGACATTTACAAAACATTGCACTTGCCACCATTACTCAGAGATTGCGGAGATAACTGATCTGCTATATATGAGCTTTAAACAGGCCATCAGTGCCCACAGGTTGTACTCAGAAGTAGTTCCCACAGTCAAGTAGTGTAAAAACTTTTAAGTCTTACAAATAATAATTTTTGATAGCATTTCCTTGGCCTCTTGGGACTGTAAAGCTGTTTCTAGCAGTGCTAATTTAAATATGTATTAATCAAAACTTCACCAACCCTGACTCTGAGAAAAGGAAATATTCATATATTGCCTGATCTGCCATCCATTCATCCATCCACACTGGAAACAGCAGAAAGTGCATGTTTGTCAAACTCTACTTCAGACACTGTCGCTTTTGTCTGAAATAAAATGACTAAAATAAAATGTCAGTGGACTCATGGTAGAAGCAGCCGCTTTGGTTGCAATTTAATAGTCTTTTTTTTTATGCATCAACATTTTTGAAGGCAAAGTGATAAAGGCTCTAAGACTAAGATGCAGCAAACTGAGTTAAAAATAGGATAAAAATAAATTTACTCTGTGGATGCAAAGTGCTTTTGAAACATTTACCATTAGAGCAGATCTGAACCTCTACAGCCAACTGAAAAAGTCTGCGGCCAGCTCAGCAATCTAAATATTTATTATAGTAAGTGCATGATCAAATGCAGATGTCAGGCTGGTGCGTATAAGTCATTTGATAGTTCAACATAGTGTTGAATCATGAGTGAATTTATCTCCGCACTTAAAGGGGGGGTATTTTCCTCCTCAATTTATCACTGTATCATATATATTTTTTGTTAGTTTCTTCTGACTTGTAGTTTTTCCAAGTTGTTTGGTTTCCAGAACATCAGTACTGCTGATTTGAGTTTATTAACACACATACAAAAAAAAAACATAAAACGAAATAAAAATATGTTTCAAATAGAAGCGATATAGTTTCAAGAGTGTTTTAAGAAATTAGTGTTTGTATTTTAAGATGAAAATTAAGCAGGTGTATTTACCATGTTCACAGTCTTAATTTAGCTTTAGTTTAGACTAAATGTAATGTCAATGTCAGAACCATATTCCATGGCAATCCATCCAATAGTTATTTCACACAAAACCGCAAATGTTGATCCAATATTTGTTGATATTTCAGTCTGGACCAAAGTGGAGAGCCCATCAACAGACTTGACACTGAGTCACAGGTCACTAGCATGGCTTTTTTTTTTTTTTTCCTTTTTCCTCCATCTGAAAAATGGACGATTCTGCTTTTCTCGAATACCCCTCCTTTAAAAGTTGCAGTCATAAATACACACAGTGTTTGATTGGATGCAGGTGGATGCTTCATCTATATCTTTGCAACTGACTGGAAGCCTACTATGGTAGAAGAGTATTAGTGCCTTGTGGACCATCCCAGCCAAAGTCTTCCCACTTAAACGTCTTTGGTTGCAGGTGATGTCGGCCCAAGGGAATTTCGCAAGAGTCAGGGTGCAGCAGATACCCAGAGAACGTGCTGCTGCTCTCAGTGTCGGTGTGAAGGCCGTTAGTCTCAGAATTCTTCACCTGCAGCCACACCTGGTCTCCCATAGTGAGGTGGAGGACGATAGTCTGGCTGGTGGTGGCTTGGTCGTTTCCTTCTGTTGTTCTGATTACAGGGTAGAGGTTACGGAACAGGCCAACTTTAAGCATCCTGAAGGCGACCGCAAGGTTGTAGGAGAAGACGTAGGTGCCGTTGACAGGAGCTGTGTAGATGCCAGCGAGGGGGTTGAAGTGCCCTTGCTGGTTGGTAATTACAATTGGGAAAGCTATGGGCCAGTTGCTAGTAGGAAACGACTGGTTGATGAGTGCGGTGAATGCTGATTGGATGGCTGGGGAGCAGGGACCAGGTGGTCCAATGAGACCAATAATGCCCTGGTTGCCTTTTGGCCCAATGGGGCCCTGTAAACCTTGGCCACCAATGTCACCTTTGTCCCCTTTAGCCCCCTTTTCTCCTGGTCTCCCCTCAGCGCCGCCCATCCCATCTGTGCACTCACATACCCCCCGCTCACCTTGATCACCCTTCTTGCCATTTATCCCGGGGACACCAGGTGTACCCATGTCACCTTTATCACCCATAAGACCTTTGGGTCCCACATCTCCCTTGACCCCAGGTAAGCCGCGGGCTCCAGCTGGTCCAGGGAGGCCTTGTACACCTGGTGGACCCTGGACACTCTCACAGGAGGCAGGGCATGTCCCGGTTTCTCCCTGGGGGCCCTGTGCACCCTCAGGCCCTATCAATCCTCGGTCCCCTTTCTCCCCTGGAAACACAAAAACACACATCAAGAGTATCTGCATTACATTGAAGCATCAAGTTAAATGGTTTAATATGAAACCTCTCAGCACCTTAACCCTTTCCACTCCAAATGAGACCATCTGCCATTTTCAGAAAGTTGCTGATGATGGCATAAACTTATCAAATGGCTAAAGTGTATAGTATTGCAGAGTTCTTTCATTTCTATATCATCAAAGTTGCAGCTGAGAATTTTCTGATCAAGTATTTTCTGTTCTCCAGCCTAACCAAACCTTAACCATAATGGTGCATGGATGGTTCATCAAAACGCTAGACTTGGACTTTGATAAGTAAGGCCACTGTTCACATTTCTTACCATGAAAAGTTGGTCTTTTTACCATGACCAAAGTCTTTCCCTGACCATAACCAAGTACCAAAACCTTAACCATAGCAATGTTAGATCATAAAATGTATGTTTGTAACAAATGATGCCATCCTTATGTAAGTGGAGTCATGGTGTCCATGTTACTCTAACAACCCTTTATATAGAGTGATCTTTTACGTAGTGATCTCAACAGACCTTTCAAGCCTCGCTCGCCCTTTGTCCCGGTGAAACCGACGGGGCCGGTCTGCCCTTTCTCCCCCAGGTCTCCCTTCTGACCTGTAACAACAGACAAACACAGAAATTATGAAAAGCAAGAGGCAACCTGTATTAAGACACACTAAAGTAAACCAACAGGTCAAGTCCATTGACCTGTTATGATGATGCATTGATGCACAAACTGAACAAATTGAGACTTTGTTGGTGTCTGAAGTTTGATTTTCGACTGTAGTCTCCAGGCAGGTTGACGTAAAAAAATAAAAATAAAAATAAAAAATTACATAGAAGCATGGGCAGCCTGTTATGTTTGTTGTCATTACCAGTGCAGTGATGAGTAACTCACCCTTCATCCCCTGAGGGCCTGTGAATCCTGCTCGACCTTTGAACCCCATCATTCCTCTTCTCCCAGGACTCCCAGGTTCACCTGATCAAAGATTACAGTCTGGTCAGTTTTTGTTTTCTATTCTTTTACATTTTAACATTCAAGCTTGTGATTTAAAGTGGTCTGCGTGCCTGGAGGACCCCGGTCTCCACGATCTCCTTTGGGTCCCATGGTGCCTTTACAGTGCGAACAGATGCAGAAAAATGGAATCTGGTCCATAGGCGGTGGTACCGCTGCGTTCAGCAGCATGTCGCAGATCGATGTATCAGGCATGAGTGGCGTCATCTGGTTGGTTTCGTCCAGCATCCGGAGCTTGTGGGGGCCATCGGTCATGTTGCCGCTGGGTGGCCATGGTTGTGCAGGGGGCATCGGCAGGGGGCCGCTGCGAGAGACAGGTGACCAGTTAGAAGTTTCCTCCGATGACTCAGAAGGCCCCCCCTCATCTGAGCCAGACCAGTGGAAGGTGTTGGGGTCCGAGGTGGAGCCGTCCTCTTCACTGGACTCCATTTTGGCAGGGTTTCGTCGCAGCATGGCTGAGCAGAGGGAGGACAGGACGAGGAGTCCCAGCAGCCTCAACATCTGGAGGAAGAAGAGGATGATGGGAGTGTAAGAGAATTACACTGGGAAAATCTGCATCAGTCTGTTTGTGCTTATTTCCATAAAGTTTTTTAACTTAAGTGAAATGAATTCAATCTGTTTCTAACAGAAATAAGTTTTTCTCAGGAATTATCCAGAATCAAGTGTCTGTGCTGAAGTGTGGCACTGACTCCATTTCAAGTGTCTCATACCCAAGACCAGATGAGATTTAATACCCCTCCATTTACTGTACATTTAGCCACAGTCTTTGTTGCCCAAATCATAAATCTGATTGCAAGCCTCTTTGTTTTCCTGGCTTCATGCAAATCAGGGTCGGCCCCCCTCCGGTCCAGAGGGAAGAGGTAATGCTACTGAAGCTGTTCTGCTCCTAAAGGTGGATAAAGAATCATGTAGAAAGGACTATGTAGTTTTTGGGGGCCAATACACAGCGTACGCATCATCCACTCATGTAATAGATACGACAAATATCAAATCATTTTCTAAATTGAACCTCATTTTATCATTAAGAAGCTAAGAAACATTAAGACAAGATGTTTTAAAGGAGCTGTGGATTGACGTGTCTAACGTCTTAATGAAAAAATATTTTATTGGGTTTAAAAAACTAAACAGGATAAAATTCCAGCCGACCTAAACTGCTCGCAGACAGGAAAACAACATCCTTACAGGCGTTTTAGGAAAAACTCACCACTCCGTCCGAGTCGCGCAGCATCGTCTGGAAAGGGATTTGTGGGAAGATGAGCAGGATCGAGGAAGCTTTCATCCATTTATAAGCCTCGCCCAAAACAAAACTTCATTCAGGGTCCGTCTCACCTGCCAGGCCAGCAGACAAAGGCTGAGGACCGGGGGGGAGGAGTGGGAGGGAGGGGAGGTGCGTCTTCATTGTCTTGCTTAGGAAGAACTGGGCCCTCTGCCTGCGATGTGACCTTCCTCACCATGAAACAGCAAAAATATATTCAGAGCAGAAAGAAGAGACGCCTCTCTATTTATCTCTCCATCATTCTCCACCCTCCTTTTTCTCGCATCCTTTCATAAAACAAGATTCCCTCTTCAGTCTTTCCACAGCTCGTCTTTACTCACGGTTCCTGTAAAACCTGTGGAGTACTTTGTCTGATGCAGTTCATCGTTTGTTTCGATCAGTTTGGTTTTTCAGAGTCCAGGATTTTGCGTCAGTGCTGTTGATTCACAGCCTCTGAAATCTTAAATCAGCAATAAGAAAACCTTGTTCCAGATATTGCAAGTCATATCACTCAACACAATATAGTCCCATCGGTAAGGATAATTTTGAAAGTTGTTTATGAGAAGGGCTTATAATCTATTTCCTCATTTAAAGCTGGATATATTAGGGCACGAAATTTAAAAATCCGCCCTGCAGCAGTCACCCCCTCTTTTCAATAACTGCTATTTCTTCTATCCTCAAGAGACTGTCATTACATCCATGATGTTATTGATGTTATTCAAATATTTTCAATAAAACAAGAAAAGGCAAAATGAGCCAAATATAAGGAATTAGAAAATAAATTAAATGACTCCTCATATGAAAAGATACACAATGAAAACAAAAACAGCAGAAAGTAAAGTAACATGTTTTATCAACTTTTTGAACAAAAATCGAAATTGATTGATTTTGTTCTTTAAGATATAAAAGAAGGACAAAAATAATAATAAAAGAAAGAAAGCAGTACTAATGATTTCATATACACATATACTTACACCCAAGTGCTTAATGGGAAAAATGATGTGTCCTCGGATACAAATCTAAAACTGTTTCACAATCAGTTTATTAAAGGCATCCATCGCCTCCATCTCCAACACTGCACTGATCCAACAATCAGCAAGTAGGATGTTGGAAGAATTTTCAGGTTTTATTTTTCATAGAAACCTGCCTCGTTCTGTCTTTTTGGTGACACCAACCTCCACGACATTGTTTGGAAATAGATTTGTGTTGGAAACAAGTTGAAAGAACAGGGAACAACAGTGTTTCCAAAAATGATTCGGTGAGGGAGGGAGTTCTTTGTGTGCATTCTGTAAACAACCAGCTCAGTTGGTACAAGAAGCTGCTCAACAATACTGTAATCTAATCCTTCACAATAAGCAGCCTACTTTTATTTTCTAGCACATTTAACAGCAGAGGACAATCCACTCTGTAACAGCACCTCATGGGATTATCTGGATACAAAACAAATTACAAACATGAGAAAAAACAAGCGCACACAGGACAACACTTGTTGGCTGAAATTTAAAACTGGACTCTTACAAGACCTAAACTCTGACAAACCAGTGTAACATGATACTCATCCACCTGATCCTGTCAAACATAAAGTTTACACTTTGTCACTTCAATTTCTGATGCTTCCTGCACTTTTACTTCAGTAAAGTCTTGAATCCAGACAGCTCTACTGCTGAAGTATTTGAGGACTTTCCTGTCTTCGCCTCCATCTCTCCATCTCCTTTTTCTCTCAGGTTCTTGTCTTTTCTTTGTGACTTCTGGTGTCGATATGCAATAAGAAGCCCAGACTGTAAACAGATCAGACGGCTCACTGTTGCTGCTGTGACTGACGATGCTCCTCAGTCGCCATTTTCAGGCAGCAACTCATGTACTGAGAAATTAAAAGTGGGTAAAGACGAGACAAAACAGGTTATCAGTTCAATTCTAATTCAGAGACGTCACTACATCTGGCTGTTGTTCGCCAAGAAATAGCTCCAAGAAGTAAAACCATACATTGTTGGGGTATCTGGTAGTACCCCTTAACATATAACTTCAAAGACCCCTGGTTGAATTCTTACATTTACGGCATATATGACAATTTTGCTAATTAATTAATCGTAAAAGTCCAATGTGAAGATTTTCACAGTAAACTGAAGGTCTTTGAATTTTGGACCATTGGTCAGACAAAACAAGACATTTGAAGATGTCACCTTGGATTCTGAGAACAAACAATCTGAGAACTACAATTATTCTAAAATGAAATGACAACATTTTAATTGTTGGGTTCATGGGTCACAGGCAAAGAAATTCTGAGAGATTGGGGTGTTTTTGTTTTAGTGCTTTGTAATTGCGTAATGTTATCAACCTTGATTAAGGTACATTTTCTGTATCAGGACATTTTATTTGTTTGTTCGTTTGTTTTTTGCAAGTTGTAAGAGAAGAAGTTTATCGTAAACATAAATGATCCACTGTTATTGCCTCGAAGCATTGACTGTGCATTGGCATCTGTATCAGTCAAACTTCGCTCTGCAGAGAAAAAGACAAAAAGAGGAAATCCCATCAATAGAAAACAGTTGATGGAAGTAAAGGGGGCAAACGGGAAACTGGTCTGAACACAAAGCAGCAGGCGGCGAGCCAGTTCTCAGACCAGCTCACCATCACAAGAGAGTCATGCTTGGGAAGACCGCGCCCTCCCTCGCCACCTTCCAAATCACTGTTAGTCACCTCATTGCAGAGTCACCCGTGGAACCAGAGACAGCTCCTTTATGTCCACAGGCCAGCTTTTATTCTGAAAAAATCAAAACACTTGAGGACACAAAAGTAAATTGAGCCAAGGGAACAAGGCTGAGGCACAAAAGAAGACAAGGAGATGAATAGTTAACCTTAATATGTGTCCTGGTTTCCATAGCCGCCGGTGCTCAGCGACACCCCGGAGGCCGGCCCAGGTTTCACACCTGTACCTGCTCGATCTCTGGGAATTCACAGCAGGAGAACAACAAGACCGGCATCCCTGCTTGACTGAAGTTCACTGAACTCACTGCCATGTTGATGAAACCAGTTTGTGACATGGAGCATGATCCTGCAGGAAGGAGCCATTAGAAGATGGTGAACTGTGGCCATGAAGGGATGAACATGATCAGCAACAATACTCAGAGAGACTGAGACATTCAGACCATGATTGATTGATTGATTGATTATTTGGTATTAAAAAGAAAACATCCCCCACACCATCACACCACAACCACCAGCCTGGACTGTTGACACAAGGAAGGTTGGTCCATGGATTCAAACTCTTGCTCTACCATCTGCTGCCTGAGCACAGATCCAGATCCATCAGACCAGGTCTTCACCTGTCCAGTGTTGGTGAGACTCAGGTTTCTGTTCTTGGTGACAGGAAGTGGAACCTGCTGTTGTGGGTTGGACGTGTTGTTCGCTCTGAAGCTTTTCTGTCAGCTTCAGTCAGTCTGTCCATTCTCCTCTGACCTCTCTCATCAATGTGGGGCTCCACATTAAACAAGGACTATTTATCTGTGAGTGACTGCTACCGTCTACTGAACCTATGAGCCACAGCCTGGACTGGTTCTATATGAAGGGAGGGTTTAAGCCAGTCGCCCCAAATCACATTTGATTGGATAAATTTGGACGTTAATCATTAAAAATACTGTAATGTCATCAGGTTGTATACTTCACTGTGTCTCTTTAAATATATCTGTTGTATTGTCATCCTGGAAGAGGATCCCTCCTCTGTGGCTCTTCACAAGGTTTCTACTTTATTTTGGGGGAGTTTTTTGTTTTTTCTGAATCAAGGCTCTGAGGACGGAGGGTGTCGTATGCTGTACGGGGCTGTATAAATAAAACTAACTAAAACTAACATTGAATAATGTCTAAATCAAATGTGTGTTTTTATCCGTCGCACGTCTGGTGTGAATGAGCAGAAACACTGAAAATGTAATAAAAATAGCAGCTTTTGGGGAATGGGGCTCTGATCTGTTGCAGAGGTGAGTGGGTGGAGGTTGTGTTTGTGTGTTGGCAGACAGTGTTCGGCTGCAGACTGTGGACTCTCAGTAAACACTGGTAGTTAGTTATTAACAGTAGAAACAGAGCGAACTGTCATCTCTGTCCACCGCTTCGATTCTTCACACGTAAGTACAAAAACACTCCTCCGTCTCAGAGATCCGCTCATTTTTCTGTGTCTTTGTTTCATGGTGTTATGACAGTTTTTAGGACGTTGTCTCGGCCCCCGCTCCGGGCGCTGCCGTGAGCTGAACGGGGGTCAAAGGTCGTACAGGTTCAAACAAGGTCTGTCTCCTGCTGTGTGTCAGTTCAGGGGGCCTCTGCGGATTCAGCTGAAAATGATCAATAGTGTTGAAATGTTTAACTGAGGCTGCAGAGGGATTATTGCAAACATTTAAAGCAGTGAGAAGGAAATTCTGAACGTGATGTGGTTGTGATTTTGTTCTTCTGTCTCGCCTCCAGCTCCTCCAGAATTCATCTTCTTAACCAGCTTTCATTTGGTAAGTCACACGAGCCTCTGCACCATCATTCAGCTGTGGATTATGAATATTAATGTTTGTATTACTGGAGACACTGGGTAAACATAAACACTGAGGAGATAAGAAGTTGTCTCATGTCTGTCTCGTCCCGTTGGCTGCAGGGACGCCTGACATCATGTCCCGCCTCGTGTTCTGCGTGTCCGTCATCGTCGCTCTGTGGTCAGCTTCAGTGCTCAGTGTCTCAGGTGGGTGTGCACGGACCCACCGTGCACGACCTCTGTTTGAGATATTCACAGTTCTTGTTGCAGAGTGTCAGCAGCTCTTTAAAAGCTGATTTCAGTTCCCTTAAAAACACAGTCTCAGATTTGTTTTCTATCCTGACGCAGACAGTAAAAGCAAAATGGAAATGTTCAGTACAAATGTTCCAGACCTCCATTAATTCATTCATTCATCATCATGAATTCATTCATGTGAATAAACTCATGCACTTTGTTAATAATTGTAGCTGCAGCAATGCTCTTATTTTCTGTGGTAATCATATTAATATTCTCATTGTAAAACAGTAACCAGTCTAACGGTTTATTCAAACTGCAAACAATTTATTTCAGTTAAGTGGCAAGTTCATCCAAAAACTAAACAAAGATTTTATCACTTTCCTCTTGTGTCGTCAGTAGTTTTAGTTTTGTCTCTCCAGGCTTTCAGAGATTTGTCTCTGAGATTTCTACCTCAGCACATTGGAGCTGGGCAGAACTGGAAAAAGATGCTGCTCTTAAAGTTTAGAAATCTCATTTTTCAACACTACTAACTAAATACTTTTCACCTCCACTGTACTGAGGTAAAGGCAGAACTGTAAGAGACAGAAATCTCAGAACCTGGACCCGTCAAACCAAAACTAACCGCACGAAGAGAAGAATACACTGTGTTGTTTTCTAATCTGGATGAGGTTTATGATATAACATTAATCCTCTGTCTTCTTCAGTGTTCTCTGACCCTCCGAAGGCTCACATGCTGCTCCGGTCCCGTCGGGCAAACTCCTTCCTGGAGGAGCTGAAACCCGCCTCCATGGAGCGCGAATGTCTGGAGGAAAGGTGTGACTTTGAAGAAGCCAGAGAGATTTTCGAAACCAGGGAAGCCACAGTAAGATGTTGAGTGTTTCTATGTCTCTCAAACATTTCATACACGTTCTTTTTTGTTGTCTTTGACCATTTTCCAGAGCATATCAAAGGTTTTATCTGATAGATTTCAGGTAAAAACACTCAGAGAAACCAAATCCTGCAAGGTTTGGATGGTGGGTCCAGGTGGGCGGGGCTTGGTGACTGCTTTGTTGTGACATCACAAAGTTCCAGAAGTCCTGACGGCTGGTTTTAAGGCTCAGTTTCTGAATACAGGCTGTGTGCATTTCTCTGTGGACTGAGGCTTTGATACTTTCACAGTATTAATATAGAAGCTAGAGCTGATCTATAATCACACTACACATGGACACAGACCTTTACACTGGAGGAGCTTTAATGTTCTGCTCACTGCTGGGAGGGAGGATCCGTCTCCAGCACCTTTCAAGAGTCTGAATATTATCAGCAGGAGTGTGAAGTATTTGTACTTTGTATTTAACAAAACAAATCACCAGCAGTTCACTCCTTTATTACGCAATCACAGCGAACAGCCACTTTTATTGACATCACCTACTAATTTCTCTCGACACATTCATGTTCAGGTTGTTACAGTGTCACAGTCGGACATCTCGACTCCTGAAGGAAAGTTTACCAGCTTTATCTCTGACTTGTTGCTCTGTGTGTTTGCAGCTGGAGTTCTGGACGGTTTACACAGGTAAGAAAAAGCTTCTTCCTCAGTATGAAACACTGAAGCATCTACTGTAAGATACACATCATCAGGTCTGTTTCCAGCCACCTGATTTAACATAGTTTAGCATGAAAAACATAAATGGAATCACCAGAAACGGCCTCAGTATGTTGTTGTGCTCTTGATGCTAGTGTAAAGTTTCCATATCAGTAAAGAGAAGAGAGAAGTTTTGAAGGCTGATGCTGCAGGACCTGTTTCACCACCTCGTTTTATTTCAGCAGAGTAAATGCAGCATCAGTGTCCTGCTGCCTCTCATGTTTGTCTGTCTGACCAAAAACAATAAATGTGTGGACACAGGAAACTATTTAAGTTATGCAAATAATAAGAGAACATATAGGATGTAACCTGGAACTACTCTGAGTGGCGGAGGCAGACAACTGCAAGGAGACGATTCTAGTTTTAACATCTGGATGGAAATATAACTTTAAACAAGGCTTCCATCTCTCATCTAACGTTCTTAAATCACAGGTTATTGTCAGCAGATAATTAACGGAACACAAAAGATAATAGGCAGGATGTCGCTTTAAAATGACCTCATGAATTCAGAGCTTCACGTCACTCCACAGTGGTTAGCCCTGGTGCTAATCATAGTCACGCAGATAAACAGATTCAATCAGCTGCTGTTACCAAGTGAAACCAGACAGAAACAAACAGCTGTTATAAAAGGAGCTGAAGTGTAAATACTGGGTTTTATTTGGATGGAACTGTCAGTGGTGAAGTGGCCGGGTGATGGGAGCATTGATATCTGATGTGAACGCAGCAGAAACATTTGTGACTAAACAAGTAGAATTAGTGTCAAAATGTCCAGAGACTGTGAATCTTTATCATTTATCAGCTGATTTCTTGCGGCGCCTGCAGAGCATTATGGGACACGTATTTCATGTTGTTCTGAATGTGTTTTAGATGGGAACCAGTGCAACGCCAACATGTGTGTTCATGGAACCTGTGTGGATCAGTACCAAGGCTACGCCTGCCGGTGCAACAGCGGATATGAGGGAAAATACTGCGACCACCGTGAGTCATTTGAGTTTAAATAAAGTTCTTTGTCATCAAGTAACTTTTAAACGGTAAATACCAGATGATGCTGCTAATGCACAATGTTGTGTTCTGGTGTTTTTGACCTGCTCAACTTCATCATAGTTCAAACTTTTTATACCATTATTATGATACATGTAACAAAAGAAAACAGGTTTTCAAATTATATGAAGATAATTCTAATATCATCCTTTATTTATATGTTTCAAAAACGAGTGAAAAGAAACAGTAAAAATTACAAAATAGAAAACAGATCAAGAAGTAGCATAAAAATAAAAACAAATAATAGAATAAAAATGAATTAACTCTCACTGACAAAAAATCATCTGAAACCTTTTTCCATTCATTATAAAAATCCCAACTAACAATTATTTTCATTATTGATTAATCTGCTGATCATTTTCTTGAGTGTCGATTTAATGGTTTTGACTGTAACATTTATAATTTCCCTGAGCTGAAGGTGATGTCTTCAGATGAGCAACATGTGATATTTTATTATTGAGATATGAAACAGAGAAAAGGGGAGAAGCTCAAATCTGGGAATCAAACAATAGTTACTGTAAATAATTAACGTCAATGTTAATGTAAATGTAAACATGTTGTTTAGTTGAGGTAACACTCTGTCACCTGTGGCTCAGTTCAAACAGCCACTAACTGCTCTGTGGATAACGGCGGCTGTGACCACGACTGCACAGAGAGCGAGGACGGTCTGACGAGGAGCTGCAGCTGTGTGGGCGGATACAGACTGCACAACAACTCCAGGAAGTGTCTGCCAAAAGGTGAGAAAATAAATGATGATTGGTTTATTCACCAGCTCTGTAGACGACAGCTGAGCTGCTGGATGGAGAGATTTGTTTCTAATAAGCAACATTTACTCATCTGAATGTTGAAACCACTTTCAACAAGTCTAGTTTCAACTCACCTGATTAATCCAGCACCAAGTTTATTTCTTTAGTCGGTGCTCACGTCAGATAATCCACCTGCACAAAGTCTTAAAGTGCTGAACTCATGTGCATCTCAGACAGAGGTGATTCAGTGTTTCACATAACGCAATAAGAACTGAAAAAAGAAAGAAGAACAGCATGAACACGTTAAAATTAAAAGAACAGGAAATTAAACATTAAATACTTAATTCGTGCTTTTACATTATTTACATTCTGCACACAAATAACACTAACAGTATTCTGTGTGCACCAGTTACTGAAGTCGTGCACAGGAATAAGACACTGTTGAAGCATCTACAAATATCAGATTTATTTCCATGTGTTGAAACATTTGGACTGTCACATCCTCAGTGGAGGTTGTGATGCTGCACGACGTTGTTTCATCTGCTCAGCTCTAGTTTAAAGCTGCAGTGAAATAGAAACAGTCTAGAAACAGACCATAGACAATCTGCTCCACATGAACTGCAGGGATTTAATGATGTTTCACTCTGACGTTGGACACAGAGAAACACTGATACTCTCAGCATGTGTTTATTAAACCCTGTGGTGTTGTTTGAGTCCAGACGGGACATTTGTTGCTCGTCATTCCTCATTTCCTGTCATCCCTCTGCTGTTGCTGCTCACTAAAGACATGAAGAGGGTCATAAATATCTCGTAGAATCACTGGGCTCTGGAAATATCAACACTGGAGAGGACCCCTGTATCTCTCTCTCTCTCTCTCTCTCTCTGTCTTACTTTCTCCTTTTTCCCTACAGGTTCCTCGTCCTGTGGTCAGCTGTTGATCGGCCGGTCGTCGTACACAAAACCGATGGTTGGTCTGCTGCCGTGGATGGTGGGAGGGGAGGTGGGAAAGAAGGGAGAGAGCCCCTGGCAGGTAACAAGAGTTTAACTGTCACTGCTTCTCTGAGCTGTAAACACTGTGGAAAAATCACCTGCAACACGACACAGCGGCCGAGTCCCGTCACACCGGTTCATTTAACCACCAGCTGCACACACACCGGACTCCTCACACAGACAGAACCAGTCAGGAGTCAGGATATCACCATGTCACCTCTCATTGAAAACAGCAGCTGCAGGTGTTTTCATTTCTCACACACAAACTCCACAAATTAACATGGCAGCTGTTTGTGTGCAGGTGCTGTTGCTGAACCCCAGAGGACAATTTCACTGTGGGGGCGTCCTCATCGACGAGAGCTGGGTCCTGACAGCCGCTCACTGCCTCGAAAACAACCTGAAATTCAGAGTACGGCTCGGTGAGTTCTCGCCCTGCACATACACCAACGCCCATAAACTAAAAGAGCTTGTGACATTGTTCAGAGTATCTGCAAGTCTGGAAAACTGGAATGAATTCAGTTTCAGTTTAGAAGGTATCACAAAGTCTCAAATTTGATTTACAAAAAGCATTTTCTCTCGAACGCCGTCGGCAGTAATGTTTCGTTGTGACGGTGGATCGAGCTGCAGGAAGGTTGAATTTCATTCTAAATTTAACTTGGTGAAACCTGCAGAAACCCAGATATCATCAAGAGGTTTATTTCTGTTGTTCAGTGAGTCTCATACAAACATAACACCACCTCAAGAGCTGTGTCCCAACTCCACATCCAGCCACGAAGGAGCTTGTGTTTCACCGTTTTTAACCGCTCGATCTCGGTTGAGGGCGACGGAGTATTAGGGGGCCACACTGAGGGAGAAAAATTTTGAAATCATGAGGAAAAAGTCATAATATCACAAGAACAAAGTTGTATTTTTAGTTTCCATGTTGTTTTCGAGGGAAATATCAGAAGCTTTAAAATGAGGAACGTGGAGCATCGAGTGAAGTTCTACTTTAGGTTTCACTAATAAGGAGAACCTTCATCTTTTGGCTCATCATCTTCATCATCATCATCATCATCAGGATATTGGAAAGATTGTGAAGAAACTGAGTCTGTTCTATTGTTAGACAAACAGCAGCTGTCTGTCCTTTCACCTGTTTGATTGGTTGATGTGATATTCCTAAAAATTATGTTTTTTTTCTCTCAATATTTTACATTTTTAATTCTTGTAATATTACAACTTTTTCTTGTAATACTATGACTTCATTCTCAAAATGTCTTTTTTTTCTAATACTTGCCTAATACTCCGTCGTAGTTAAAACCCTGCTGACACAATTTAATTGTGACTCCTCCCATCGGTGGAGGCTGCTGTATAAACAGTGGATGACAATACAGTAAAACACAGCTGTAATAATATAAAATATGTCTTCATGGGAGTAACAAATGTCCACATGTCTATGGAGTAGATGTAGCAGAACTAGATGGTCCAGGTTTCCTGCAGGGTATCAAACATCAGAGGTTATTATTACACTTTCATGTTATAAACCAAGTGTCAGGAAATCGCAGGTGTAACTGAGCTCAGCAGGTGAGTCATTGCCAGTCACTTCTCAGTAATCAGTGGGAGCTGAGTGGTGACAGCAGTCAGTCACTTACCACCTCAGGTGACTCATCCTGGAGAAACCGTGATCTGTGTCTTCAGGTGACTACGAGCGTCGGAGAAATGAAGGCACTGAGGTGACCCTGAAGGTCATCAAGTACTTCAAACACCCAAACTACGACAGCAGGACGGTGGACAACGACATCGCCCTACTGCGTCTGGAGACCCCCGCCCCGTACTCTGAGTACATCCTCCCCGTTTGCCTGCCAGGACGCCAGATGGCCGAACGCGTGCTCCACCTCAACGGCACTATGACCGTGGTGACCGGCTGGGGCAACACTGACCTGGATAGCAAAACATTCAGCTCGGCGCTCAACGTCATCAAGATCCCGCTGGTCAGCCGCAGCGTCTGCACCCAGCAGATGTTCAACAACGTCTCCGACAACGTCCTCTGCGCCGGGGTCCTCGGACAGAGCGTGGACGCCTGTGAGGGCGACAGCGGAGGACCGATGGTCACTCTGTACCAAGACACCTGGTTCCTGATCGGTCTGGTGTCCTGGGGCGAGGGCTGCGGCAGAAAGGACAAGGTGGGCATCTACACCAAGGTGTCCAACTACAACGACTGGATCAGCAGAGTGCGTGAAGAATGGGACGACAGTCATTTTACACCAGAACCACCAAGCATCTGAAAAACCTCCAGCCCCAAGTCGATCCAGTCCGGTTGGTTAAACCCACTTAGAGGCCTCAGTACAGCAGAAATGTAACACACGGTTAAATAAACTCATTCTGGCTTCATTTAACTTTTTTAACCACGAGTGAGTCTCAGAGTTTGAGTAAGCTGAACAATAAAAAATAATCTCACTGTCAGTTCATACCTGTGGTCCTGACTTTCATTTACTCCTCTGACAGACGCTTTTGTCCAAAGCTTCATCACTAAAGCTTCAGGGCAGCAGGAGACCTCGGTGTGAGTACGAAGCACTGCATCTGTTTAATAAGTGAAGGAGATCGGGTGAAGAAGTGCGGTGAAAGTTCATAGTAAGTGCTAGTCAGACATGTTGGGGTGTTTAGGAGAGGAGGTCTTCAACAGATTCTTGCTCTGATGGTTCTTCTGTAGCATGTTGCACCATCGGGGAACCACAGACCAGAACCGTCCGGACTCAGATTGTCGTGTGCCGGGATGGTGATGGTGAGAGTTTTATGCTGTAGTAATAAGCATTTATTGACGGATTAATCGTTCATTTATGATTTCTTTTTACAATTCCTATTTTTAATGCCTATTAAAATATGAAATTAAGGAAATGCTTTATTGCTTTTCCTGTCACATCCCTGCTCCTCCTTAGGAATGGATGCAAACTAACGCAAACTGAGGTTTCGACTTGTGTAATTACAGACAGGGCGGGAGGACCTGGGCCGACGTCTCGCCCACTGTCACCACAGTGCACAAGGACATTTCTCTGAACGTATTGTATCAGTCTCAGTATAAGAAATGATGATTTTACCCATTTTTAATTATAACTTACTTAAGATTTCACAGAGAACACAGAACCGACTCCCGAGTGATGAACACAGCTTTATTTCACTTTTCAGCAGGTAAAACCCGCAGACATTTGTACAGTAGCAGAGTCTCAAAGGGACGTGAAGCATGTTCAGGACTAATGTGATAATATGTGCTGCAAACTGTCAACTAACACATACAGTCTTATCTGTTTGGTTTTATCACCACAGACTCGTTAGGACGTGTTGAGGTCTATGTGGTTAATATTATTCCTTTTAATTCAGTTCTAAATGACAGCACCACAAAACGAGCAAGACACACCTGAGATTTACAAACACACACACACACACACACCTCACATACAGTGTGTTCCTACGTTTACGTCCAGTCACTGTGTCGTCGCTCTTCACAGTATCAAGAGAAAGCTCTGAGTAATGAACCATCAGCAGCTTTAACACCACAGCGCTCACATTTAAAACTACTGGGGTTCATGATCTGAACATCTTCCTGATATCAGCTGCATCAATATGTTTCTTCCTACACTGATAATATGCTGCTGCTTATTAAACACTAAAATTTCACTTCATTTCACAGTTTTGCTAAATATGTACTTCAGAATAATGCGTCTCCTACTCTCACTATTACTTTTAACCTGAGCTTAACTCTTCATTTGTTTTATTTATAAGTCCAGTAAAGTTTAAGACATTTGATGGCTTGTTACAATATTCATCATCTACAGTGTGTTGAATTAAAATGTACCTGTAAAACTAGATACTGTACAAGCAATTAAAAAAAACATTAAATACATAAGTCAGTAACTGTTAAATCAGATAAGGCTTGAAGGATGTTGCAGGACAGACTTTGAAAAAGTAGTATCATCGTATCCTGCTGCAGAGAAACCATTATCTGTTTAATATACTGCATCATCATCTAGAGGTAGAAGGTGGAACTGCAACTACAGTCCTGGTACAGAAAGACACAGGAGCTCAGGTCTGTGGCTTTACACAGAAAACCTGTTTAAAAGATTTAGGCTGACAGGGTTTTATCTGGTTTTAGCCTGTTTTCACGTCTTTTATAAACCTTTGGTCAAAACAGACAACATCCTGTCAGGTGCCTCTCTGAGGACGGAGACGTACAGTGAAATCCGAAATCAAATAATACACCTGTGGACAGTATAATATGTTAAATAAATACACAGTATAATATGTTAAATAAACACAGTACATATTTCTGACCTGCTAAGCCCTTATGTAAAATAACACACTGAAAAGAAAGATCTTTTTAAGTCTAGATATTTGACCATTTGCTGTCAGGTCATTTAAAATGCAGAACTTCTCTTCACAATCTGCACTGTTACTTTTTATTATTGTCATAGATGAAAACAGATTTTTAAACAGGCGTTTAAGCGACTTTCATATTCTATTTATAAATGTTTTATTGTGTCTCCTGTTTTTTTTTTTTAAAGCACTTTCCTATGTTATGAGCTGAAATAAAGTTATTAAGGCTGCAACTAACAATTATTTTCATTATCAGTTAATCTGTTGATTATTTTCTTGTCATCAAAATGTCAGAAAATAGTGAAAAAATGCCTGTTTGATCTGTTTAACCAATCAAAGAGCAGCATCAAATCCTCACATTTAAGAGGCTGGAACCAGAGAGGAAGGACTAATCAATGAACTGACTAATTGTTTTTATTATTATCACTATTATGATTGTTATGTAAATTGCATTGATGCTCACTCTATAGAACAGGACGTCGGTATTGGTACGTGCAGAGTATATCCAGTAATTATTCATCTTACCTTTAGTCTCTAATCTCAGTTTTTTTTATTCTATTTTCCATGTGCATATTAAACTAAGCCTACTTTAGTTATTGGATATTATTATTTCCCTTTAAAGTTACTGAAGCATCTATCTTTTATATGATGTTTGATTTTGGGTATACATTGAAGGAAGTTAAATAAAGGATACGTTTCCTGTTCATGTTAATACTGAGGTTAGAGGTTAATTAAGCCCTGACTTTAATTTTCTTAATTGTGCAACACACTCAGGAAAGAGGGTTTGGATCAAAGCAAAGTGCAGCCCTGATATGTGGAGACAGAAACAGTGACGCTCTGAAGCAGGTCACCTGTCATGTTTCCAAGTCGCGACCTTCAGGAGAGTTCAGGCCTCAGGTTGAGGATCAGGACTCGTCTCTCCTCGTCTGTTCTTCAGCTCCCGTTCGTATCTCTGCAGCTGAGACATGAAGCCGGGGTTCGGGTCAATCACGTGACGAGCCGTCTTCACTTTCTGGGAGAAGAAACAAACAGAAGCAAGTGTTTGAGTTATTAAAGTGAAAAATTCTGGACAGGTGATGTTCAAACATTTTCTCGGGACGCACATTTGAACACAACTAAACATTAAAGCTCAGGGGCCGGTTGCACAAAACACATTAAGTAAAGATTTTCCTTAAAGTCTGAGTTAAGGTTTCCTTAAAATACTCATTTAAAGTATTTTAAGGTTTTCTCCTACACTTAAAGAATCATTTAAAGTCAATGAAACTGTTGCACAAAACTCATGAGCAACCAAAGTAAGGAAAAAAATAAAGGTGCCTCTGACTCAGCACAATTTCACAACTGGCTTTTCCATTGTGTTGACCCGTCTGGGCCACCATACTACACTAATACTATACTACACCATACTACACTAATTAGAAACGTTTTATAGTAGCAGTAGGCTAACCCTGATAGTAAGTAACACAAATAATGGAAACAGCTACCGACGTGTTGTTTTAGCGCTGAGCAATAAAATACAGAACATCCTCTTTATAGCATCCATGTTGTTTACACATTCCGACTTTAATGCACATGAACACACCAAGGTCGGAGGAACAACTTCCCAACTCGGGAAATCCGAGGAGCACGTGAATACAGCATCTATCACCATGCAGGACACTTCCAGCTGTTAGCGGTTAACTGACCGACACTATCCTAACTGTGGGTTAAAGAAACTCTAACACATGGAGGACACAGCTGACCTTAAAGAAGAGGAGGCAGAACTGGCTGAACTAACACCACTTGGCTCATGACACTCTGAGCTCCTCGGTCATTATTTTCTTACACTGGAACACGTCATTGTCTCACCTGTAAGGAGTCCGTCAGTGTCAGTTTGCGGTGCTTCATCAGGTAGGCGATGCAGATGGTGGCCGAGCGGCTGCGCCCGTTCTTGCAGTAGACGACGCTGCGTCCTCCACGGTTGGCCTCCTTCTGGATGGCGTCGGCGCAGCGGTCGAAGTGGCTGTACAGGTCCTCGTTGGGGTCGTCGTAGACGGGGATCTGCAGCTTGGTGACGCTGCTGGCGGGAAACGGCTGCTGCTTGGACACATTGATGCAGAGCGTCACCGCCTCCTGCTGGATGAGCTCGTCGCTGCAGGCTGAACGGGCGTTACTGATGAACAGAGCGTTGGTGACCTTACACAGCTGCAGCATCCTGGTCAGCGTTTGACCCTCACGGGCTTCCTTAGTCAGGCACTGAGGCTCACAGGTAGCTGCTACCTGGGCAGACAGAGAAACAGGAGCGTGTCGTTTTTTTTGTTTTCCGGTCGTCAGTCCCATATCTCAGTAACACCTTCACAGAACTTCTTCAAATTTGTCACAAACATCCACTTGGACTCAAGGATGAACTGAATAGATTTTGGTGGTCGAAGGTCAAAGGTCACTGTGACCTCCACAAAACAGTTTTAAGCCATTAATCAAGACTTCACAGCAATTATGACAAATTTTCACACAGATGGTTCATATTTTCTCTGACTCTGGATAAACAGGGATCTAACCTGAAACTACACTGAGTGGAGGAGGCCTACGACCACGCTGCGGTGATTCTAGTTTTATCACCAAGTTTTGTCATCATGACCTTTGTTTCCAGTCAGTCAGCTCTATGGTTACTTTTAGGCAACCAAAGTGAGCTGGGTACAGTTAAAGAAAGATGGTGGTTGTAAAAAGAAACCAACACTGACTCTTTACAGGAGACAAGAGGAGAACCCTCCAGTATCATCCATCCACCCTGACTTCCTCCCTCAGAGGTTTCGCAATATCGCCCTATTTTTTTTTTTTTTTTCATTTCAATGACCATGACAAGACCTCATTTCTCAGAGAAACATAAACAAAATCTACTACTGCATTTATTTTACTGTTGAGGATTTGCCTTTTGACCTTCAAAGGTTTCCGTAGCCAGTGGTCAGTGCTACTGCTGAATCAGTTAAACCTGCAACAACTGCTAATGTTTTTGGTTTTTAGGCCACTTGTTTTCAACAGAAACAAACAGTGAACACGGACAAATCACCTTCTAACAGCTATTTGTTTCCACATCCAGCTGTTACAGAGCAACATGATCATTCATCTGGAGCTGAAATTTAGCGTCAGGATTGTTTTTTTAAAATCAGCATCTAAACATCTTCCTGATACATTTTATCCAACACTAATAATGAGAGTAAGAGACACATGATTCTGAAGTGGATATCCAGCAAACTGTGAAGTAAAAGGAAACTTTAGCATTTAATGAGCAGCAGCATATTATTACTTTTAACCTGAGTTTAAGTCTTCATTTGTTTTATTTACTAAGTCCAGTGCTGTGTAAATCATTTGATGTGTTGTTATTATAATCATTATATGTGTGTTGAATTACAATAACATACAAAACGCTGACATCCACCAACACAGATAGATTATTTCTCTCTGAAATAACACATCTAGAGTGAACCCACAGAGGCAGTGGTAAGTGAATGCCTCACTCACACTCTTAACACCAAGGACACACCGACTCACATCCGGCAGTCAGCTGATCTTCAGGCTCCTGCTCTCTTTAGATAAACTCTGTGTCTGTAAGGATTTTCAGATGAGAGTATTTCCTGTTTGGTCTTAAAAGACAGAGGACGGAGAGTTCAGACTGATCCGGTCGGTTCAGGCCTCCTCATGACCCCCAACTGCTCTAATCAACACACACCACACTGCTGCTATATTTAATGCACAGACTCTGACAGCTGCTCTGCTCTGGGTCCTAATGCTGCTCATATTCATGTCTGACGGATCAAACATGGACAAGTAAAAAATAAAAAGAAAAGGGTGCCAGGAAAACAGTGCAGCACAGCTGCAAATAATAATGATCATTCCCATCAGCTATTTATCTGTCATTATTTTTTCATGTAAAAAAAAAAAAAAAAAATTTCAGAACTGACAGTAACATCCTCAAATACGTTGCTTTGTTCACCCAACAGTGCAAAACCCAAAAGGATTAAGTTTTTTCACTAGTTTTGCTTGAAAAATTACTTTAAAAAATTAAATTATCAATCGTCAAACAGTTTTCTGTAGGTTGACTCAACAATTAATCCTTGAAACTCTATTGCGTTCAAGCCCCAAGATGGGGCCAATTTATATACTGCTGGTCAGCACAATAACATCTTATCCTGTGATAATAGGCTACATCATAATTTTTACTTGTTGTTATATTTTGTATTATTAATCTGATTCTGCAAAATAACTAGAGACATATAAGATACACACATACAAGACAAATGTGGTGCAGTAAAAAAGTATAATATTTGCCCTCTGTATTGTAGTGAAGTAAGAAAATCAAAATATTCAAGTAGTACAAGTAACTGAAAACTGTATTTAAGTACAGTGGTTTCACTCTTTTCTGGCATTTTTTCTGGCATGTGAAAATCCACAAAGGTGAGGAACAAAATTCTTGCAAAATATGGGAGAAAATATTCAGTGATATGTCAATGTTGAAAAAGCGCAACCCACAAAGATGAGAGACCATATTCTTGTAACAGATGTGGGAATTATTTTTTCTTTATAAATTGAGTCGGATATCAACCTTGCATACTCGTTTAAGAACCCACAAAGGTGAGAAGCCATACCCCTGCAACACCTTTGGGAAAAATTCAATCAGAAGCAAGACATGGAGGGACATGGAAAGATTCATACAAGTACAATAACAAAGCTTGGTTATCTTGAGATAACGGAATAATATCAAGTTATCGCGAGAAACCAGAGTTCTGTTATCCCGAGATAACTAAGCTTTATTATCTCGAGATAACCGGATATACAAAATGTTTGCAAGGATGGCCTTTCTCAGTTTCCGTAGGTACCAGATGAATGTGACAACTTTTTTCTGCCTATTGTTTTTTGTTGTTTTTGTAGCGGATATTCTCAACTCATATTATTGAATGATTATAGTAACTATATAATGAAAGTATTGATTACAATAAGGTTATTTTTAAACTGAATTTTACTTTTACTTTCCTGTGTTGTCTTCTTCTATACCTGCTTATTTGTTAAATACAAACTCAAAAGCTAACTCACTTTTACTACCGGAACCTCACATTGTGGCACCCAGCGGAAGTAAACAATGAAAGCGCGCGAATGGCGTTAGCTGTAGGTATATGTGGAGTTAGCTTGAAGGCGACGGTTTAGTCGTATCGCAGATAAATATTTCAGTGGTAACTAAGCAACAATGTCTTCAGTTCAGTATCTGAGAGAGTTTGTCAACGAGCGACTAACTGCTGCTGCTGAAGAAATATTCGGAGTCTTTGAAAAAACTATCGTCGAGTACGAGGAAGTGATCGATCGTCAGCGCAGACTGCTGGATATCGTTTGGAAACCCGAAATAAAGCTACACAGGACAGGTCTGTGAAACCAGAATGGTCTGAATGAAAACTAACACAGGGACGTGACTCATACTGGATCCTAATCAACTTTTACTGTTTACGAGCATCTGTCTGTTTTCAAACATCATAGCGTCGTTAATTGTCCTTATCTGTATTGATTTGTATTATTTGTCATCCCTACATTATTTGTGTCCTGTTTTTGTTTGCAAAGCACTTTGTAAACTCTGTTTTTAAAGGTGTTAGATGTGTTAAATAGATTTGCCATTATTGTTATTATTATTATTATTATTATTATTATTATTATTATTATTATTTAGTTTTCGTGTCACTGCACATGAAGGAAAAACTTTAGGGGCAAAGTTAGTTTTGTTTCAGAGAAATAACATGAATGAATTTTATGAGTTTCTTAATGAGTAAACATTCAACATCAAAGATACAGGTTGTATAAGACACAGGGGAAACTGACTGGTCTTTGTTTCACAATTCTTCTATAATCTTTTAGTTCAAACGAAGGAAATGAATGCATCGTGCTTTAATGCGTCTCTTTTCAAACAGGCTTCAGTCAATGGCTGCCCGGTAATAATCGACCAAACCTTAGTTGATGACACAGGTATGTGTTTTGACTTGGGCAGTAGTGCAGCAGAGACGCAGCAGTCTTTGTTGTTGTGATTTGGGAGCAGGTCAGGACCAATGTGAAATAACTTCTTGTGGTGTTTTTATCCTGTTTCCTGCTTCAGTTTTACACACAGCACTTTGTTGTTGTTTTTTTATACTTTCTTTTGCTTTTTGAATTTTTGGACAAGTGTGATGTGTGAGTTCTCTTAATATAAGACCAACTCAAGATCTGCGTTTTTCCAGCATCACCTAGTAACCATTTACCCAGAGGTCTGATTTTGAAACATCATATTATTTACCGACATTAAATGTGTCCGTGTGTCCCTCCTGTTCCACTGTACCACCTCTCATCTACTGATTCTTAATACAGAACACTGATGATTATGATGTGTTGATAGTGTTCAACATCTCGTCTCATCACTCCCATTTCACTGGTAGAGTGACTCACAATCATTATAATCTCTGTATTGATGCTATTTTTAATGTTCCTTTGTCCCTCCAGAGCTCCCACAGCAACATGTCTGTAAGGAGGAGGAGGTTCTCACTGACCAGCAGCTCTGTGACCAGGAGAGGAACTCCAGTCTGGACCAGGAGGACCCAGAGCCTCCACAGATTAAAGAGGAAGAGGAGGAACTCTGCACCAGTCAGGAGGGAGAGCAGCTTGTACTGAAGCAGGAGACTGATACCTTTATGTTGACTCCTACTAATGAGGAAAGTGACCACAGTGAAGCAGAAGCAAACAGTGACCACCAGCTTCTCTCTCACAACTCTCAAGGTAACACTCAGACAGGTAAAAACTCTTTAAAATGTGACACCTGTGGAAAAGATTTTAAGTATAAGTGTCTACTGACTGTACATCTGAGAAAACACACAGGTGAGAAGCCATGCATCTGCAACTTCTGTGGGAAAAGATTCAGAGAGACAAAAACTTTGAAGGACCATGTGAAAATCCACACAGGTGAGAAGCTATACCCTTGCAAGACCTGTGAGAGAAGATTTTGTACAGAGTCGGTACTGAAACAACATACAAGGATCCACACGGGTGAAAAACCATATTCTTGTGAAACCTGTGGGAAAGCTTTCAGACAAAGTAGTTCCTTGACAGCCCACATAAGAACTCATACAGGTGAGAAACCGTACCGCTGCAACACCTGCGGGAGAAGATTTTGTACAGACTCGGTATTGAAACAACATACAAGGATCCAC